ATAAATGTATTGGTTGCTCACTTAACTGGGCGGTCCGCCCCGGGTGCCAAGCATCAGGGGGTGACACAAGTCGCGCAGATTAGTACTCACTGGCGCATCTGCATGGCAAATCTGCGGTGTATGTCATGATACGGGGGGGTGCGATTGTCTTTCAATCTTCGAATCGGTAGGTAACCCCAAAAACCTGGGGGGNTGATACGGGGGGGTGCGATTGTCTTTCAATCTTCGAATCGGTAGGTAACCCCAAAAACCTGGGGGGTACCAGGGGGTGTCTTAGGACTTATGACGGGGGGGGGGGGGTGATCGCCCCGGGTGCCAACCCATGCTACGCCGCCACTGCACTAAGTACCTACCTATACAAGTGCACACCAACACTGCTGTTGCTAGTTGATTGTTATACTGTTTCGATGTCAATAAAAATAAAAATCACCCATATAAGAGGAAGTTCTAATAAAACATCGTTTTGTGTACCAAAAAAGAAAGAACGAATCGAGTTCAGTAAGCACATCGATGAAAAATGTATTCCAGCGTTCAAATAGACGTGAATGTCGAGTTTTCCACACCAATCAGCAGGCAAATACAACGACTCGGCGACTCGACTCGACGACTCGACGAGCCAGTGATTTCGCGCGCTCCAGCGACCGCGAAAGCTCTTTGATTTTCGTGTTTTGCTAAAGCATATTTGGATTCATTGTATTAGCGTCGTTTTTATTTTGGTGCGTTCGGATTAAGTTACGCGATAATGTTTTTGACCAAAAATAATTGTCGACAACTTTCACTCTTTAGACACCCCGTTTTAGAAATAAGTACATTATCTACATCAGGCCTTATGCAATCGTAACAAACTGCCTTGTCTCAGTGATCTCAAACCCGGACACTATATTGGTTGACGTAAAAAAAATATAGGACTTTTTAAGCAATAGTTTAATATCTAGGAATGTCGCGGATCAATGCTTTCCGTTTTATCCAAAAGAAAGCAGTTTAAAGTTTTCACTACATTTCACGACCCCGTGATCCCAATCTTCGGGTAAACCGTGCATAAACTTGCCTCGCGGTAGTCTTGAATAAATAAGTAATGGTCAAACATCCAACTAAGCTGAAAATCTCGCTGAAGTTGGCCGGGGCATCGATGCAGCGAGTCCGTTGTCCACAGAGCCAGTCTGGTACGTGGAAAAACTCAAACTGTTTTAAAACTTGCACAGAGTTGGACTGAGGTAAGCGCAAAAGTTACGCGTTACTAATGTACGGCTGCTGATGCTAAAGACTGGGCGTCTTATTACGTACTTGAAATAGCTGGTAGCTCTGTGGGGTCTGGGAGTTGGGAGTAACCCTGCTGAGTAGACCTTCAGTGCACCAGGAATAGGTAACTTAGATTTTCAAAGCCGGCTCTGTGCCCTTGCCTCAGCCGGAGTAAACTCACAGCCGCTCCAGGGACATTATGTACGACGTACCTACCTATGTAGAGTCCAAGATTCATATAACTCATACCTATAGCATACCTAATAGGTACTTTATAATATTATCTGAGTGTAAGCCGAAATGAGGCTTTAAACACACGAAATAAATTTAACCATCCACCGCTTCGGGGCAGAGTTGAGACGAAATGAGCTGCCAAATGAATCGCAGAAAACCTGTTTCGATAAAAAGTCGAAAAGGGAATTTATTCCAATGCCAATAATACACAATTTGCTCGTCAAAACCCAATTTAAAATTGGAAATTCTGTTTTCGGTCGCTCATTAATTATTTTTCGGCCCGGCGAGTAATCACGGCGAGGCATTATTACCGCGCGTCACCGCGTGTCGGGTTTGTAAATAAAAAAATATTTTTATGCAAATCAAAATAACACCCATTTCATCCGTTTCAAGCAAGCGAATTGTATATTTGGTAATAGTCTAAAAGATTATTGTACCGAGATTCCCGATTCTTATACATAGAGACAAGTGAAAAAAGGTCGAGTCAAAAAAAGTTACTGTAAGTACTTACATGAAGAATCAGCTCGGCAACTCATGAAAATGAGGACGTCACCATGAAAGCTTAATTCTGAAATAAAAAATCAAAGCTTAAAAAAAAGCAAATCGTACCTATAGCAAATAAGCAATAAGACACGCTGCATCAGCTAGCTACTATTTATACTGACCTTTCCTCTTTCATGTAAAAAGAATGATGAACTGGTTTTCTGAAGCACAGATTAGTAAACCGTGAGCCAGTTGTTTTTATCTCAAGGGCACACACACAAAATTTCTAGTTTATCACCTACGGGATCTAATTACCAATTTTCCAGTTAACTGAACGGTAAGACCGAATGATTGACCGATTTAATCACGGACCGAACGAGCGCGGTCCAACAGTAGGGCGGGAAAAAATTGATTGCGTTGAATCAATTCATTTGCGGGTGCGGTACGGTTTTTGTTGACACCTTGGCCCGATTTTTTATTACCCACCTCAGGGCACGAGCCCAGCCGTCAATTTTAATTAACTTTATTGTTAGCTACATTTTTTCCCGTTAGGAATTAGGAAGTAATTTATGTCGCCTTTTATTGCGGAATATAACGTGAACTTTTTACTGCAGTTCAATATTTTATTTTTCTGTTATGAAATTTACCAGACCTACTTCTAAAAAAATTAAGTAATGGCAAATTACGAGTAGGTACTATGTACATTTAATTAGATTAAAAATGCCAAGTGGTATAAGGGCCATTCTTAAATTTGTGCCAATTTTTTTTTAAAAATTAAAGATTTTTTTTTTTTTAACTTTTTGCGATGTGTATCGAAAGTATAAACCAAAAGCATACTTTTGATGTATATGGACAACCTTAAAGCCCTCGGAAAGGAAACAAAATAGCCTACGTAAACACGGCTGTGACACTGCATGACACGGATGTGACAGTTTTACATTTTTACTGTAAATAATAATATTTATGTTGTTAAATTGATATCATAATAGTTTAAATTGATTAACAATAAAATACACTAAATTCGTTTCATCAACAAAGGTGTTATTTGGTAATATGTACTTTTTTCTGAACATCCAAAAATTTAATTAAAATTGAGATCAAAAATACCTTCAGGTAGTTAATATATCTACTAGATAATAAAAAAATAGACTTTTTATTATTGGCACTATCTGATCATGCTTCCGATATGCTACCTACATGGTTTCGATATGATAATATGCTTAACAAATTAGTAAATCTTAAACACAGTAGGTACCTAATTGAGTATCAAATGAGATTTCTGTAGGATTCACATAACAGTTGGTTTTGACAACTTAAACATGTTTCATAGTCACCGTACCACTAAAAATATGGTTAATAGCAATTCCTTTTAAAACAACTCCGACCACCTCTGCAGGGCCTTTACCGGGAGCTGTCTCAGTAAAATTTGATATTACTGCAGAAATGAGAAAGTGCAATAATTTTTCCTTCGTGGCATCTAGAAAATCATACTAGCGAAAAATAAGTACACTTACTAAAAGGCTACTCCTAAAAATTGCACAATACACAAAATAATTTAGCAGAACAACAAAAACTATTAAAATAATAAAAATAGAATGTCACAACCACGCGTTGTAATGTCACGACCATGTACTTAAATAGTTTGCGGTAGTGACACATTTTTAATACCATGGCCGTGACAATTTGGAACGTGTCCGATATATCCAAAAAACTATCTGTGAATTAGCAGATCTTGTGCAATTATCTGAAACTATACTGCATGAGGTACATAATTATGTTTTATACAATAGCGTGACATTGATACCTACCTTTAAAAACCGTACACGGGATGGACGTGTTATGGTTGTCCCTTTTTTCAAATAAATAGGAAATAATTTTTTGCGGCTCACTCACTACGTTCAGCCATTTGCAAATCTAATAAGATGACAATGTTACTGTTCTAAAAAAACTTAGCAAGGGATGTCAATATCAAAGATAGTTTTTTACCGAGTTACGCATATTTAAAGTGGCGCACGTGGTTGTGACACAAAAACTGCTCACACAATGTTTGGTGTTCAAAATCAAAAATGGTAATTATTATTGATATAAATTTTTAACAGTCTTATATAACATGTATTAATCTTGCATAATTACTGTAATATTTATCAAAATAACATAACATCTCTTCAGAAAAAAATATTGTATGTCCAAATCCGGGAATCTCACACTACACGGTCCGTGACATTTTGGACTTGTAACTTTTTTTTAATATTCTTCTAATAGTTTTATGATAAAAATGATATTGGGCCTAGTTAATAGAGGTATTTTACTAAGTAAATTAATATACAGTGCACTGATTTTCTTTAAAAACATATGCTATTCTTACATCTCACACAAAAATGCGTAAGAATAAGAATGGCCCATAATGCAACTGTGGATTGGTATTAAATAAAAAACCAAACCATGCCAAAAATGTGTTTTAGGTTCTTAATGTTGCTGTATTAAATCACTACTTTAAAAGGGGAAGGTATTTAAAATAAACAACGTTCGTTTATATACAATATTTTAATCAAACTAACACAATCATAATTACTTATATCATCAAAAATATCGACAAAGCTTATAAAAATACATCAGTCATCATCGGGTTAGTTAACTAATTCTAATTGTCATAATCAATCACCTTCACAAATTGTAATATATTAGGTCCCTTCTGTATTACAAATAATATAATTAATCAAATATTTGTACCTTTCTGTTAAGTAAAAGCTTAAACGTGGATTAATATAAAAAGATCTGCACCGCACCCTTTTTAAATAATCAGAAATTAATCAATATTATCACTATATTATTACAAAAGAAGGCATATATTTAGCGTAATTTAATAATAAGGCTAAATAAATCTTTCAAATCTCTTCAAACGCCTATTATAAATCGCTTACAATAAATGTACTCAAAATAATCTAAATACATACTTACATGTATAAAAATACAAAACATTTTTGTTACAATACTCGAGCTACAAAGAACAATAATATAAAAAAATATCCCTATTAAATCATAAACACACATTAACCATACATAATCATTTAGAAAATTATTAAAGCTACGTAGACAATGCCAAATTCCTAAAATACATAAACTAAAGGGTGATAAAACTAAAAATATTATTACCAAAGACAGAGTGTAAAATCTAATATTGTAATGTATATTTCTTTGTAGAAGTACAAATTAGATCACGGGCTAATAACCAGCTTTGTCGGCTAGCCCAGTGTTGCCAGCTGAATACAAACACGACGCGAACCGATGTTAATAAATTCAGGCGATACAAAAAATTCAACTAAGCTTTATTTGTACTATTTTGTCTAGAAGTTATTGTTTGTTCGTCTTGAATTTACTTAACTAAATCTCAAATCAAGATAAATACGCTCAATCGAATTTGGTCATTGTTTTCAAATATGGAGACTTCAAGCCTCTTCAGGTAGAACATCATAACCGGCATTTTTCATATTCGATTTTAAGGAGCATAAAGACTCATTTTAATTCCATGCGAAGTGCTGGCAGTTCCTATATTAAGAACTTTTGGGATTTCTTTACGATGTTCTTACTGAAAGGGCTTGACTTTGACCTTGAAATGAGATACATAAAGAGATTCTTGTGCAATCGAGAATAATTCATGAGCATGTTACGATAGGACACAATATGAGCATTTTAAGAAAATTAACTGGACACCAAAATACAGCATTCAATACGAATCAACGTATTAAACCGTTCTTGATGAAAATAACTAGTACTGTAAAAATATCGTAGTCGAAAATTTGTACATACAAAACAACGTACAACTACGAATTTAAACACAATACATTTGAGCGTCAAAAATCCAATCAGGAAAATGTAACAGTCATTTACATTTCATTGTAATGATGTTGACTTTATGTAGATTTAATATTGGCACTGGAGTGCGGTTGGTCGGCTGTGAAGACCGATAATGAGATGAAAATATGGATTTTTGCTCAATCCGTAATACAAAACGGGATCACGTATCCGTAGTAATTTCCGCAATCGCTCAATTAGAGATCATTAAGGGCCGGAACACATTTGCTGAGTCGCGTTCGAGCGACTGTTCAGCGACAGTGAACTATCGGCCTTATGAGTTTCGAAGTAAGGCCTCAAATATCATGCCACGAAAAGCGACTAAATGAAATGATATATTGCGCCAAATATAATTTAGTTTCATTGTAATTTCGACTGAATTCGTCGCCGTTAATTATTGATTTCATTAAAGTAGCTTAATTATTGTGACGTCAATTACTAACTTGTTCGGATTTGTGCGGTTTAGGTCCTATTAACATCGGTTGGCAGTGCTTCATGCTAATGCATTTTGGATTACCACCATTGAATTGTGCTGGTTACAAAATAAATATTATTGTTCGCACGTGTTATAAAATTGTCTCACATAATAATTGAATTAAACAACTAGAGTTACAGTTGTTTCATTGAATGTTAAATTCATGACAGATTTTAATGAACACAACACAGGTTTCAGTCACAACACAAAATAATAATACACTAATTCACCCTACCTAAGCTGATTATATTATTTTTTAGTATTAATTAGGCACATAATTGTTATTAAATAAATACATATTCAAACTTACCAAAACCCGTCCAATAATGGCACACTTAACTTTACGCTAGTTAGTTTTATTTACTTTTCAGCTACCAAGTTTGACGAAATTTATTGCCTTTTATGGAAAGAGATAATAAATAATATAAATCGTTGACACTTGAAGTTTCTCACTACGTCTAAAAGTACGTCAATACATTTTATTCGTTGATGAAAAGTGTCAAAGTTAATAAAGCTATAAAAATTAAACATACAATTATTATTTATCTACTGAGATAAAATTATGTGTAAAAACTATTCACTCATTTGACAATAGTCTTGCCCTTTTTCATTGGCTATGAAAGAAGCTTACTATTAACGTTAAATTTTAAATCGCCTGATCAAAATGTCAAACACTCAAACGTGGTTGTGCGATTTTAGTATTTACGTTTATATCTTTTCTTTGTTTTTGCCAAAAACTTCAATAGCAAGATCACTTTTCCGAAACCTATTTCAATTAACGGTTAAAGGGGGATGTGTATGCAAAGATGTTCACAAATCCTTAATTATTAAGTCAATGGGAATTAGTAGAATAACCCGGCCGAAAGTCTGTTCATTGACACTTTAGAACTAGAACTAAAGCCTGGTCCGTGAGCACGTAGAATTTTGTCCAATGACCCCAAGCGACTTTGCGACGGGCGCCCGCAGTGAGTGTGCGAGCGCGACAGCAACATAATTACACGCGAGCGATAAGGATAGCTTGGGGTCATTGGACAAAATTCTACGTGCTCACGGACCAGGCTTTAGACTATACATAAGACTTCACACCTTGTTCGAACTGCAGCTACCTTTCAATCCTTCGTTGTGTCATTTCCTTGCCACGTTTCTGGAGTAGGGATGACTCTGGATGCGCTCCCGAGCCCTCACTGCTTTGTAACCAACTGATTTTTGAGTGTCATTCGTCTTTGCGCGACCCGACTCTGTTAGTACGTTAGGTAGGACGACACGACACGACACACATGAAACAAATTGTTAGTTGATTAATTTAATTGTAATTTTAATAATATATTTTTCATGCAACTTTTTAAACCTTTTTCTTCTAAATAGAAAATTTGAAAATGCTGTCTAATTTATTACTGTTACAGGTATTAGAATAAATATTATTAACGGGATCGCTACCATGTACCTTATTTATTTTGGAGACCATGAAAGTTTAAAACAATATTTATTGTTGTAGGTATGAATAAGTCAAAATACTGATTTTAAACGCTTTTAGATTTTCATATAAAAGTTTAGCCCCATTTGCTTGTTTGATTCAAATGTGATCAATGAAACCCAATCAGTGAGGTTGGACAGAAATGGGGCACATTTAAATGTCTTGGAAACAGAAGAATTTAATAAGAAGAAAATAAGAAAATATTAAGTAAGCCTAGGCATAGACCACCGACTTTCAGTCGGCCGATAGTTGGGCCCGCTTTCAATTTGTATAAAGAATCAATCGGTGCAATGTGCGCACTTCCATAATAGTCCAGTCAAAATAGACATGAACCCTGCAATAATTCGCATACAGCTGAAAATTGGTACGAATGTTCGGAGAACTATTATGAATTAACTGTGAAAAGTCGACATCGATCCGACATGTGCTAAAAAAAAAATTCAAGGTCAAACTTAAAAAATACGGGTTTTTGAGATTTTCAGCCAAACGGTAAGTTTTATCACAAAAATATGTATGACAAGGTTTAAGACCATACAATTATCTATCAAAATTGTCTATACACTTTCTCCTAAGAGTCAGCGTTTCTGAGATTCGATGATCCGAAGAGTCAAAAAAGTGTTTTCTTTATAACGGTCTTACACATAAATCCAATGTGATATCGCCTCGTGCCACGACTCAGCATTGTATCATGATGTGTTGTCGACGTCGAATATAAAATGATCCACCTCAATGTCGTTTGTCATCTTTAATTGTCGAAAAATGTTTGCAACTTAGACGAAGGACTGCACCGTGAGTTTCTAAGATACGAAGTTTTCGTGTCTATTATGTTTAAGAGCTCTTATATGCACAAGTCACTACTCTACTTGTAACTCTATGGTCACTCTTTTAGCCCGGTCAAGTCAGAAAATCCAGGTTATAATAATTCGCATAGAGCTGAAAATTTGTGTGAATGTTGAGAACACCATCCTTAATGAAATGTCAAAAGTCCCCAACGATCCGTCATTTGAAAAAAAAAATTACGAAGTCCAAGTTTTTTGCATTTTTCCACCAAACAGTAAACTTATCATAAGAAATGATAAGAAATAGTAGTAGATCATAAAATTATCTATTAAAATTGTCTTTGCCCGTTTTTCCTAAGAGTCACCGTTTATGTGGTAACGATGCAAAAAGTTGGAGAATTCGCATTCTGTTAACTACTCCACAAGTCCACAACTTCAACTCTATTAAAATAGTTTTGAATTGAACAGGATAACAAATACATCTTAAAAAAAGCCTACTGGGGAAACCTGGTAAAAAAAATGCGCCAAATAACCCTCATAGGTGTTGTGGAAACATGTGCATATAACGAGAACATCTTAACTAACTTTTTGAATCGTTCTACCTCATAATCGGTGACTCTTAGAAAAAAGGGGTAAAGACAATTTTAATAGATAATTTTATGGTCTACTATTATTTCTAATCTTTTTTTATGATAAGTTTACTACTTAGCCAAAAAATGCAAAAAACTTGGGACTTCGAAAACTTTTTTTTTAAATGACGGATCGTCGGGGACTTTTGACATTTCATTTAGGATGGTGTTCTTAACATTCACACAAATTTTCAGCTCTATGTGAATTATTATAATCTGGATTGTCTAACTTTGTCGGGCTAAAAGAGTGACCATAGAGTTATAAGTAGAGTAGTGACGTGTGCATATAAGAGCTCTTAAACATAATAGACACGAAATCTTCGTATCTTAGAAACTCACGGTGCAGGCCTTCGTCTAAGTTGCAAACATTTTTCGACAATTAAAGATGACAAACGACATTGAGGTGGATCATTTTATATTCGACGTCGATAACACATCATGATACAATGCTGAGTCGTGGCACGAGGCGATATCACATTGGATTTATGTGTAAGACCGTTATGAAGATAACACTTTTTTGACTCTTCGGATCATCGAATCTCAGAAACGCTGACTCTTAGGAGAAAGTGTTTAGACAATTTTGATAGATAATTGTATGGTCTTAAACCTTGTCATACATATTTTTGTGATAAAACTTACTGTTTGGCTGAAAATCTCAAAAACCCGTATTTTTTAAGTTTGACCTTGAATTTTTTTTTTTAGCACATGTCGGATCGATGGGGACTTTTCACAGTTAATTCATAATAGTGCTCCTAACATTCGTACCAATTTTCAGTTGTATGCGAATTATTGCAGGGTTCATGTCTAATTTGATTGGACTATAAATGCCCATAGTAATTAACTACCCGACTAAACTATCGGCCGACAATAAGTTGGTGGTCAGCGCCTGGGCTAAAGGGGACCTAATTCTAGACCAGTGGTTCCCAAACTTATTTAGTCTACTGCCCACTTTGATAATAAATTATTTTTAGCGCCCCCCATTTTTGTAGTCAAGAGTCGAACTCAGTTGGTGTCTAAGAGTCCTCCTAGTAGATGACGCCTCCCAAGCCTCTACACAACGTCCCGATTTTTTTTCTGGGTCTCTTGCCGCCCTTTAAGCCTGCAGCGCCCACAAGGGGGCGTTATCGCCCACTTTGGGAAAGACTGCTCTAGACTATACCCTCTACTCACAAAAAACACACATGCACACACACAAACACAGAGCCTCAAAACCTTGTATATTTACCTTGCACGTTTCTCTGTAGCGGCGTGCCGTCGCGCGACAGGCTGGACCCGAACCCGGCGCGCGCCGGCGCCGGCGGCCGCCGGAACGGCAACGCCTTGCCGACCACCGGCTTCACTATTTTAGCTATAAAAAGTTAAAACAGTTATTATTTTATATTAGGCCTGATTTCTACCAAAACATAGAAGAAAAGAGATGTCCTTGCTGTCAGTATACAGTTTTTTGTGTCTCCTGAAAACCTACTGGTATAACATACATCGTTTTGAACTGACAGCGACGATGTGCTTGAATAACGACAGTGTCGAACAAGCGTTGCTCAGATCCCGAAAGTACGAGCGCAAGTTTCTCGATGTCAAAAATGAAAAATCGTGTTCAATAAAAAATAATTGTTTGTAATTCGTGGAACTATTGTTAGTAACAGTAGGTAGTTACATTGGTAAAAGGAGAGCAGACCTACATAATTCAAGTACATGAAGTTACAAAAACACTGGCTGGCCTTAGAATTATACACATACACCCAAAAGCATGTGTGGTGACATAAACTTTGATAAGGGTTTTCTATGAAGGGTAAATATTTAAGGGACAAAAACTATTACTAGAAGTTAGTAAAGAAAATACTTTTACATCTAAAACTGTGAGCTGCGTAGACATTATTTACACATGATAGTACAAGAATATTATTTTACATAGTTAAATACATACCTTTGTCATTGAAGTTAATAGTCCTTGGCAACGTGTTCGTTCGGTCCACGAGCCCTCTCTTCAAAGGCTCTCTGGTCACCTCTATCTTGACCGGCTTGTTCATGGCCTCGACTTTTCCCGCCAAAACGAATGTCGAGTTCATATCTTTGAGGTCAAATGCGCCGTAATTTTCAACCTCGGGCGCTATATCAAACTCCCTCTTCACCTTCTTAGCACTCAAATTCCTCGTCGTGTCCAAACTTTCGAGGGAATCGTTGATGATGATCGTTTCGTTGTTCATCAGCTTTATGGGCGTTCCCTTTCGTTTGTTGCCGCACAAGCGCATCGGTTCCCTATTTTCCACATCTGTCATATCGCTTTGGCAATCGCTGTCCGTGACTATATCGACCGTGCCATTCAAGTCATCCTTCTTCGACACATACTCAATGGTCGTCGTTGGTTTGTCGAGATCCAAATTCGAGACGAATTTGAAGTGCGCGTCGCCCTCCAAGTCTTTATCGGACCAGGTGATGCCCTTCGCCAGTTTGGCTTTCTTCATGATCTCCAAGTATTCCGCCGTGAGCACCGGGGGCGCTTTGTCGTACCCTTTTAGGGTAAGGTACAGCTTTTTGAGCATGCTCGGCATGTCGCTCATGTATTCCGTGAACGCGTTGATCTCCTCGTTTTCTATAGAGAGCAGTTTGAACCTCAGGTCGTCTCGGGCTTTGATCTGTCTGATTTCGCTGTGCATGTGTATTTTTTCCACGAAGTCGGCCAAGTCCGGGCAGTCGGAGAGGGCCTGGTCGCAGATGACGAGAAGCTTCTTGCGGCTGTCGTCCCACTTGGCCCACGCGCTCATGACCTTGGAGTCCAAGTGAGCCGATTGCTTCATGTAACTCTCGGCGGCTCGCTCTTGCCGCGGTATTTCTTCGGTGCACATCTAGGTGGAATAAATTAAATAATTAGTAACAAGCTTTATAATAATAGTATAGTATAGTTTAGGTTGCGGGAAGTGCCTGAACGGGGGCAGCGGAGGAAATTCGTTGTGAAAATCCTCGGTGGAGGCCTTTGTCCAGGGTCGGTGGCTGAGTTTTTTTATTCTCAGCACTTGCCAAATGTTGGTCTCGAAGCGCTGGTAGGGCAAAAAGATTATGAGACATGTGAAGGTTCCGAGCAAAACTTAAGCTTTTTTTTATTAGTCAGCGCGCGTGCGAGCCCGCACGTTACCTGCTCCATGGCCTCGCACGAGGAGCGGTGCGCGAGCGAGGCGACGTGCGAGAAGGCGCGCGTGCGCAGCCGCTGCCGGAGCGCCAGCACGCGCTGCCGCGACATCAGCGCTAGCAGCTGCGTCTCCAACGCGCCGTGCGAGCATTCCACGTCCTTGATGCGACGACGCCATTCTTGTTTCGCTACAAAAATAATATAATAATAATATCTTTGGACAATCTCACACAGCGCCATCTAGCCCCAAAGTAAGCAATTAATATGCTTGCGTTAAGCTAGCACCCATAAGTGCTAGCTTAACGCCTTAACGGATATACTACTTATATACTTTTTTTTTTTAAATACATACATATTATACATATTAACACCCAAACCCGTCACAGAAATTAAAATTCATCATTTCAATTTCTGCCCGGCCGGGAATCGAACCCGGGACCTTTCGGCATAGTAGTCCGTTCTGAACCACTACACCAAACGGCCGACAAATCGTCGTGTAAAATGACAAGATAACATTGGATAGTCGACACTAAAGCCCGGTCTCCGAGCACGTAGAATTTTGTTCAATTACCCCAAACTACCCATCCTTATCGCTCGCGCGTAATTATGTTACTGTTGCGCTCGCTAACTCACTGCGGGCGCCCGTCGCACAGTCGCGACAGCAATACTTGCGAGCGATAAGGAGAGGTAGCTTGGGGTCATTGGACAAAATTTTACGTGCTCGGCGACCAGACTATACCACTTTACAACATAAGGCCCGGTTTCCCCAAAAGCGGAGAGATGTGTTTGAGTGACCAGATTTCATTATTCCCACATCCTCTCCGCTCAGCTTCGATTCGGAAATCTGATTGGTTATTCTACACCTCTCCACTCCGCTTTGTTCGAGACCGGGCCTCAGGGCTTTTTCAAATTTGCCGCAAAGTGCAGCGCAGAGGCAGCACAACGGTTGCGCTGTTTGTTTATCCGTATCAACACTTATCAGCCGCATATCGGCTTATCGATAAGCCAGTGACGGTGCGCACGTATTTTGTTACAAAAATTACGCGAACATAAGATGCCACAGTATTATTTAGCTTTGTGTTGTCGTCTGCACGACACTACGATTCTTGAGCCTAGTGACAGTCATGCTGCTGTCACACTACTTTACTTTGCAGCAAATTTTAAGTATTTTTAAGACACCTTAAGAGTAGGCGCACACCGTTGATAGTTTAGTCGGGCAGTTGATCAGTATGGGCATGTATGGGAGTGCGCACACTACGCCGATTCGATTTGGCCGATTCTTCATACAAATTAAAATCGGGCACAACTATCGGCCAACTAAAAATCAACGGTGTGCGCCTACTCTAAAAGAGATTTACAGGATAATATCCTCCACAAAAATGTGTTCCCGAGTGTCCTTTACGAGGTGATAATTAAAGTCAATATGCAAGAAAAATTGAGTATTTTTTTCTAATAATTCCTTACCTTTCTCCTTAGCCAAGTCGGGTTCTTTTGAAACCACTCGAACACTTGAGAGCGATAGCTTCGCTTCCAGCTCTTTAACCTTTTTCTTCAGTTCCTCATTGATGGTGACGTACTGGGAGAGCCTCACATCTCCGTCGACTATATTCTTCTTAATGTGCAGCTGGATTTTGTTTGCCCTCGCTGCGTATTTGAGAGTGTTGTATGTGTCTTCGTAGCTTGAGCTAGCGGGTGATACATTGGCTATCATGACCGTCTTGCAGTTGCCGCCCAAACTGTCTTTTAGAAGGCGAGTGAGTTTTGAGTCTCTGTAGATAAAATTTTAACACAATGATTTAAAACTCTCGTCTTTATTTGCTGTCTGATTATAGGAAAACACAAAATTTTGCGTTTTTATCACTGATTTGTCAAGATTTACATCTCTATTGCTTAATATAGTAAATATAGTGCACATTATGAATTTTTTAATGGAGAGATATGGCAAATAGCTGTAATATTTTGAAATTTTTCAAAAAGTGCACCGTCCCCCTCCCCCCTTGGTGACCACCTGTAGTATACAACGTGTCCCAAAATTCAAGGATAAGCCGGCGCCGCAGGGTGGACATAGTCATGACTACTTTAGGAAAAATAAGAAATAAAATCTATCTCAATTATTTTTTAAGTTACACAATAAATTATGAAATTCGTCGAAAATTGACACCCCTTATGATATTTTACATTACTATGACTACAATTTTTCAAATACTTCAGTTTTTTTGTTTGTATCGGTAACTTAAGTAGTGCTGCTGTCCACCCCAATACTTAAAACCCTCAGAATCCTTGCAGTTTTTACACAAAAGTTAATCAAAATATGATATTTCCTTAAAATTTTGAACAATTTTTACTTTCACTCCACTTTGACTCGTCGTTTTGTAAAAAAACAGTATGAACACTACTGCGGCAAGTTTTTTATAAAGTTGACGCAACTATCCAAGATTCCGAAATGGTATAATACTCTAAGAAAACTAGTCGCAAAAAAGATATGCGTACCATTTTTACAAGCACTTCGCTTGTTAGTTAGTATGGGATAAATCTTACAACTGAATTTAAAACCAGTTCTCTTCAACCAATTGAGCTGAAATTTGGTATACTTATGTAAGTACGATGAAAATGCAATATTTTGGTACCATTGAGCTGAATGGAGACTGGAGGTGGCCATAGGAACTTCTAAACGAAACGGCGGAATTGCATCTAGTTTGGGTTCGTTGGATTTGTCTTTTCGAGCACTTTAGTGCTAGATGATATCCAGGGTCCTGATGATGAAGTCAATTATAATTTTCAAACGAAGTCAAGCTTGTTTTTAAATAAGTTTTTTTTTATTACAACTTTATTTTAAGCTTTTTAGTTATTTCTCAATCTCATGGCCTAAGTGCTCGGGAAGACAAATCCAACGAACCCAAACTCGATAAGCTTCCGCCGTTTCGTTTAGGAGTTCCTATGGCCAGCTCCTGCCACCTCTTGACTTCATCATCAGGACCCTGAACATCATCTAGCACTAAAGTGCTCGAAAAGACAAGTCCAACGAACCCAAACTAGATGTAATTCCGCCGTTTCGTTAAGAGTTCCTATGGCCACCTCCATACTCCATCCAGCTCAATGGTACCATAATATTGCATTGTCATCGTACTTACACAAGTATACCAAATTTCAGTTCAATTGGTTAAGGAGAACTGGTTTTAAATTCAGTTGTAAGATTTATCCCATACTAACTAACAAGCGAAGTGCTTGTAAAAATGGTACGTATATCTTTTTTGCAACTAGGTTTCCTAGAGTATTATACCATTTTGGAATCTTGGATAGTTGCGTCAACTTTATAAAAAACTTGCCGCAGTAGTGTTCATACTTTGTTTTTACAAAACGATGAGTCAAAGTGGAGTGAAAGTAAAAATCGTTCAAAATTTTAAGGAAATAACATATTTTGATTAACTTTTGTGTAAAAACTGCAAGGATTCTGGGGGTTTTAAGAGTTGAGGTGAACAGCAGCACTACTTAAGTTGCCGATATAAACAGAAAAAAACTATAAGGGTTCCGTTTTTGCCATTTTGGCTACGGAACCCTAAAAACAGGAATATGTGAAAAATTGTGGTCGTGGTAATGTAAAATATCATAAGGGGTGTGAATTTTCGTCGAATTTCATAATTTATTGTGTAAGTTAAAAAATAATTGACATAGATTTTTTTCCTTATTTTTCCTAAAGTAGTCATGACTATGTCCATCCTGTGGCGTCGGCTTATCCTTGAATTTTGGGACACGTTGTATGCCAAAACCTTAATTCTCTAGTTTTCCCATAGTAATAAATATGGTTTTAGATATTGACATTTTTGAAGATGGGGAGAGATTCTCCCCCAGAGTGGATCACATAGTATGGGTCGATCACTAAGAGCTCTTTCACATTAGACGTTTTGAGACGGACGTTTATCGTCCGTTTGCAGGACCGCACACTGAAAATTGTATGACAACTGCTTTGGGGTAAAAATGACAGTCAATTACCAACAGAGTGTGCGGTCTTGCAAACGGACGACAAACGTCTCTCTCTCTCTTCTTTTCGTGTCGACAACAAACCTACACTACACAGTGTCAGCCCAAAACTCCGTAGATAGTAATAAATAATAATAAATATCCTTGGACATTTTACACTACGCTTCTAGTCCCAAACTAAGCAAAGCTTGTACTATGGGTACTAGACAACAGATATTTAAACATACTTAAATCCTTTTTCTTTTTTTTTTTGACCTGTACGATATGTGCTCAAGGCCGACGCGCGCTCGCTGCCCGCCAGGTCCATCATGACAGCTGGACCAGCCTTGACAGATGCTCTCACCTGTACGGTATGTAGCTGCTACCATCAGCGAGCTTGTTGATGCAGTTGCCCAGCGACAACAGGCTCCTGTTGATGTTAGCGCCCTCCTTGAAGCGCTCGCCGACGCAGCCCGTGGCCGACGCGCGCTCGCTGCCTGCCAGGTCGATCATTGACAGCTTGACTAACCGTAACTGGCTGCTAGTCTTGTAACGCATTTTGACGTACACCTTATAAGGAAAAAATGGAATATGTAGAATGTTTATGTTAAACTAGATTTCGCCCGGGGTTTAACTGGAAATTATTCGAATTTTTCTCTCCTTGGACTTCAACGAAAATTAATTTTTCTCTGTGCTTTATCTGCAATCAGTCTCACAACTATGAGCGGATGAGTTGTAGTGTCCTTTGCATGATAAGTGTCTTCTCCACTGAGAACACTACTTATTTATGTATTTCTACACTCTCCAGTGCAGACTTAGGATGTCATGCCTCTTGAGACGTTTGCAATAGCTTTACGAACATTAAAAAAAAAATTGTAAAATTGGCCCAGGCGTTGTTGAGTTATGCGCTTACCAACACATTTTGCAATTCATTCCGCTGCAACTCCTGTGCAGCCAAGACAGCTGGACCGCCAATAAAAACACAATCAGTGAAGGTCAAGTTTGTCCAGAAGCAAAGTTAAACTGTCATTGGACCCGCAATTAAATTAATCAGAAGAACATAGGAGTTCGAAGTTAAGGCTAAACGAGTAAGAAAAGAAATGGAATATAATACAGCTGAATACAGCAGTTTTAGTACATCTAAAAATAAAATTAAAAATAGTGGACATGAAAACACTTGTTCAGAGATCACCTGGCAATCAAAAATAGAGAATCCTTTTAGGTAGCTCATCTCTAGCAACTACTGAAGCAGTGATTCACGAATCACACAACAGTTAAAAGTGGAACGAGCTAAGAAAAACACACCACATAATTTTTATGGTTTACATTTAAATTGTATTGTTAGAATTAAGTTTTTATAATGTACCTACAATAAGTTGTCTTACGTGTAATGATAGTTTAAATGTGTGAAAAAATAAATAAATAAAAAATGCTTAAAGTAATACCTGAAAGACTGCGTGACTCCTTGAACTCTCAGCGTTGGCGTCGGTAGGGTGTTGAGTCCGGTTCTTGTTGCCGTTCTCAAGCATGTTCAGCAGCTCTCTCGCAGTCTTGATGTTATTCAACGTCAGGCCTGCTACCATCACCCCATATTTTGAGTCTTCGCGCAGTTGTAACGGAGTGTTTGATGGCTTAAGCAGGTCATACACATTTTCATTGTACACCTGGAATATAAATTTCATGTTTAGTTCATATAAATATTAAATATGCCAAGACATTATCAAGTATTAATCATAATCTAAAATCAAAATAAGACTTTTTTAAGAATTTTTATTCAATAAAATGCTTTAAATATAGATTTTTTTAAAGAACATGCATTGGGTCACAGACATTATCATACTTCTTTTAACAGTTTTTAAGGTTTAATTTGTTTATTCTTTCTTCTCTGGTAAACTTACTTCAATGTATGACACTCCTATATCAAACTCCCTATCCTTTTCAAACGAGTTGATAGTGTAAAACAAATGCTCCATAGTCAAGTAAGTGATTCCTGGATGCTCAGCACTCCCAATCATAGTAAACGTCTTCCCTGCTCCAGTAGCTCCGTACACAAACACAGAACAGTTGTAGCCCTCCATCAAAGAACTTAGTATGTCCTTCGTAGTCGTCTCAAACACATCCTTATTCGTCGCATTGAACCCACAAACATTATCAAACACAAATTTCAATTCCTTGTTAGCTCGCTTCAAAAAGTTCTTGTTGGGCTGTTGAACTCCCTGATAGAAGAAGGGCCTGATCTCCTCCTTAGGGTCGAACACAAGTAGTTTATCGTCAACCACGTCCACAACGATACGACTGTTTTGTTCCAACTCCTTCTCGTTCAAAGGACGCACCCTAACGACCACCTTGATGTTTGCAGACATATTCTGTGTAGATCCACTCTTCGAAGGACCTATATTTGTTGAAGATCCTTTAGTTTGGCCCGTTAAAGGCCGCTTCTCCATTCTAACCATTATCACTCACAAGAAAACTTTGTCATAAAACAAAAACGGACCAGCCAAGTAGGACTGGTTGCACAAAATCTCACTCCGCCAAATCAAACAGTAACGGTTTAGTCTCTATAAACAACTAGAGTCACAAGACAACGATAAATTATCTCTAATTCAATTCAATTACACAATTTGTTTTGTGTTTTCAATCGTCCGTCGCTTTCGTTCGTATTTTGTAACCGTCAATAATTTTAAAACAGACAGACAGCAGATGACAGATGCAAAAGACGCTGCCACGGACCATGAAGCTAAAGATAAAATGGAGGCCACACTTCGAAGTTCGAATACCTAGAAGCGTAACCTATGTATTACTATCTCGCTCTCTGTGGGCAGGCTCTCTCTTTCTAAGTAGGGTAAACTTTTATTTATTTTTCTCAGGACGTCAAAAACTGATATACACGTTTGGCTCGCTACTTTTTTCTTTCAATAGTTTAGTTAGGCCTACTTAACTATGTACTTAACCTTCGGAAGGCAACAGGGGTGACCAGTCACCCCACTAGGTCAAAAAAGTCTTCATACGTTTAGTTGCAGTTGTTGTGTCTTTCTGTCGTTTGGTCTATTCTCTAATTGGAGGGAGAGCTATCAGTTGCATGCGTCAACATATCGCGTTAGGTTCATGTTTTTGATATTTTGACACTGCTGGGGTGACTCATCACCCCTGTTGCCTTTTACGTATACTTTATTTTTTCTGTGTTGCTAAAGTAAATGGTTGGTTTTGGAGTAAAAATGGCTTTGTTTTCGGATGATCAAATCGAAAAATACTTTTATGGACTTGCTGATGTCAATTCCTATGATAAACGCTGCTCAGATGATAATAAGATTTTTAAAATTGAAGACGATAATCTCAGTTCAGTCGGAGGAGGAATACTTTATTTCCAATAGCGAAAATTGTTACGACGATGACGTTCTACTAGCACAATTCAAACAAAATGTGCTACTATGAAGGTCGACTGCGACGTTGCCGTTCCGTGCGTCCACTAGAGCAGTCGAATTTGAACCTAAAAACTAGTAACGTTTGAATCATTTTTATTTGTAGTTTAAATCATTTAATTTCGATTATAAGAATTTTAGACTAGGAGCCGGCTGATTTGTGTATTGAGTACCTAATAACCTATATTTTATAAATAAATAATAATAAATAATGGTTGAGTCCCGGAAAAGGACGTAGGATAGATTTTATCCCGGTTTTTGAAATATGATAAAGATTTTCATCGTCATCATTATCATCTGAAAATTATAAATAACTTGAAAAAATCAAGTATTCGGGTAGCCCTAGTGATACTCTACCTCTGGGCTTCGGCTTGACAGTACTTTTTGGGAAACCTTGTATAGGTCGATATGTTCGCTTATTCTTGTAGTTAATTTTTTATTTTATTTGATTCTTCAACAAAAGAAGAAGAATTCAATGAGGGTTTTCGCGATTGGAAAATCCGCCAGATGGCAATACGTAGACGCGAGGTCCAAATGCTGCATGATTGGTTATTTTTGACATGACATTGACAGATATGTCAAAATCCACCAATAACGCAGCATTTGGACCTCGCGTCTACTTATTGCCATCTGGCGGATTTTTCAATCGCGAAAACCCTCATTGTCAACTGTGTTTGTCATAGAGCAAAATCTGTTTGTAACCATAGAGCAAAATATAGTTGTTGCCCATTTTTATTACAAGCTTTATATTGACTTCACTTGTTAGTATGTGTGGGACAAATCTTGCAATGAATTAAATTAAGACCACTTCTCCTCAACCGATTGAGCTGAAATTTGGTATACTTATGTAATTACGATGACAATGCAATGTTATGGTACCATTGAGCTGGTCTGATGATGGAGTCATGAGGTGGCCATAGGGACTCCTAAACGAAACGGCGGGACTTATCGAGTTTGGGTTCGTTGGATTCGACTTCCCGAGCACTTTGGAGCTAAATGATGACCAGGGCCCAGAGATTGAGATAACAACTAAAAAGTGTAAAATACAATTATAATAAAAAAATAACTTTTTTAAAAACAAGCTTTATCCTGAAATGCAGTTGTACTGAAACGAAAAAAATAATTATATGCCAGGTTCAAAGAATTTCGAAAGCTTGTAGCGCAAACAGAAAAAAAGAGGAATAAATTCCATGCGCGATACAAGCTTTCGAAATTCTTTGAACCTGGCATATAATTATTTTTTTCGTTTTAGTACAACTGCATTTCAGGATTAAGCTTGTTTTTAAAAAAGTTATTTTTTGCCACTTGACGTGGCAGAATCGTGGGACTTCACGGTATTTAAATAAAAATTTAAGTGGTTGCGTTTAGAAACGCCACAAATATTTGAGCCTTTGGAAACAAGTTCGTTACTTGTATATTAAAATATAATTTTGTTTTACCTAGCTTTTTCTTATTAATAAAATATAGGTTATTAGGTACTCAATACACAAATCAGCCGGCTCCTAGTCTAAAATTCTTATAATCGAAATTAAATGATTTAAACTACAAATAAAAATGATTCAAACGTTACTAGTTTTTAGGTTCAAATTCGACTGCTCTAGTGGACGCACGGAACGGCAACGTCGCAGTCGACCCACATTATTTGAATTATTTGGCGGGAAAATAGTTTTTGGCTTTTAATTCTGAAACTAAGAGGCCTAGAGATTTGAAATTATGTCTCGTGTGTACTTTAATTATAACGAATTATTTGATCTTTAAAACGCAACTCTAACTTATACGGTTTTAATAATCCACCGTGTGTTACGTGTCACCAGCTTACACATATATATCGGTTCGTAGTTCGAAAACGGTTCGAGATAAAGCTTTGAAAGATTTGAAGTCGGGTTTTTTTATTCGACTTTAATTTATGAGATATAAAACATTGATGTAGCTTAAATATTTACGAAGATACAGATGTGTAAGCTGGAGACACGGTACTCCAGCTCACACATAGTTTTTTGATCGTGGTTTTAACAGTATTTGAGCTAAAGTCTTGAAAATTGGAAAGCCTACTATTTGGATTCGACTGTAATTTTTGAGGTATAATACATTATCGTAACATAAATATTTACGAAGATACAGATGTGTCAGCTGGGGACACGTGTCCTCAGCTTACACACAGAAAACAACTTATAGTTATGAAGTTCTAATGGCTCTAATTGAATGACAGAGGTTTGATGACTCTAATTAGGCTTTTATTGATGGTATACTTGGAATTGCTCTAGGGCCAATGAGGATGCTGGAGACATTCAGGTAGGTCGGCCCACAGAGAGCGAGATAGAGATAAGTAGGTATTTGACTCAAGTTTTTGTTCCAAATGTGGCCTCCATTTTATCTTTATCTTCATGGCCACGGACGACGCTGCCGCGCTGCCCAAAATATTTTTTTTAGGCGAAAGCATAATGCTGCTTTTACACTATGCGGAAATTAGCCTTTTTTGCTATTGTTGATACTAAAATAGGTTAGGTAGGTATTCAAACGGATTGGAAACGTTAAAAGTTACCGTAATCGGGGCTCTGTAGGTCTAGACAAAGTGCAAATTATGATCGCAAACCAGTCGAAAAGTGGTCGAAAAGCACCTTTTTTGTATGGAGTTTTGACGGATTCGATTTTCGATTCGATCAAAAGTGCGTTTTGTATAAGGGGGCTGTTTTAATTTGGTTGACTTTAGTTGACCTAGACCATAGAGAAAAAGTACATTTTTAGTCTGTTTCATTAAACTTTGCGGGACTCCCCGCACTGCAAACAAAAGTTATGGGGTTGCCATGAATTTAAAAAATGTTACCAAATTAGTAGCACTACTGAAATCTCTCAAGTTTTGATAAATATTATTTCGTTTCAGTCAAATGAAATACCTATTAGGTAAATAATAGTAATAATATTTACCTAATAAATATTGAAATGTGTATTGTGCAATTCAAAATTCTATAATGGTGGCTCAGGAATCCTGTTACTGGAAGCGACTGGAACTAGACCCGCCATATAGCAATTTCCAATTTTTTTCCTAAATAAACAATGGGTCTAGAGTCTAGATCGGTGTCGATTTAAAATTTATTGAATTCTAAATTACTAAGTTCTCCAGTTCGTCACATACTCTTTAACTACCTGCCGTCTTTACAAAAAAAATGGTTAGTTTTTAGCTAGGTAATTTAGGTTCATAGAGTAACTTTGTAAAATGAGAGTAAGTTTCAAAACTTCCAATAGTTCGCAAACGACCATAGAGAAAAAGTACTAGTCTGTTTCATTAAACTTTGCGGGACTCCCCGCACTGCAAACAAAAGTTATGGGGTTGCCATGAATTTAAAAAATGTTACCAAATTAGTAGCACTACAGAAATCTCTCAAGTTTTGATAAATATTATTTCGTTTCAGTCAAATGAAATACCTATTAGGTAAATAATAGTAATAATATTTACCTAATAAATATTGAAATGTGTATTGTGCAATTCAAAATTCTATAATGGTGGCTCAGGAATCCTGTTACTGGAAGCGACTGGAACTAGACCCGCCATATAGCAATTTCCAATTTTTTTCCTAAATAAACAATGGGTCTAGAGTCTAGATCGGTGTCGATTTAAAATTTATTGAATTCTAAATTACTAAGTTCTCCAGTTCGTCACATACTCTTTAACTACCTGCCGTCTTTACAAAAAAAATGGTTAGTTTTTAGCTAGGTAATTTAGGTTCATAGAGTAACTTTGTAAAATGAGAGTAAGTTTCAAAACTTCCAATAGTTCGCAAACGACCTCTAAAATACATGAGAATTTGCTGCTATAGCACTTATCGTATGTATGACAGGTCTAGTTCCAGTCACCCACCTGTATTTAGTAGGTATTTAATAATTAACAATACAGTGTGAGTCTTGATAAAGTGCACAATATGAAAAATGTGAAACTAGACCTATTTTTATCGACAAAAAAAAAGGTCTAGTTTCTCATATTTTCATATGTGCACTTTATTAAGACTCACACTGTATAAGATTCGCTTACGATTTGAATTAAATATAAATTCTTTGTAAAATTTTCGTTTCTTAATATGCCAACACTGCCGGCCAGCTGATTCATGATTGGCTGTTAGCATACTTTTCTCTATGGCTGTTAGCCAGCCCCCGGACATAAAATAAAGGTCCGCGGGCGATAAAAACAAATACTCAAGGTAATCTAGAGTGAGCGCAAGTAATTCTGGTGCAGTCAAGCTATCTACTTTGAATTGTTACAATGGACGGTGATCGGAGAAGACAGCAGCAGGAAGGAAATAATGGCAACAATGCTGCTAGTTGGGCAGCTGGGGCAGCTGGAATCGCTGCCGCTGCAGCTCTGGTAGGCGGAGGATTGTGGTACCTGAGGAGAAATAAGGAAGAGTCTACAAGAGAAAGCAGTCCGAGCTCAAGTTCATATTCGGATTCGGATAGCCCTACCTCTAACTCTGACCCAGCTCCTAGCGAAAATGGTAGTACATGTTTATCATACTTAACTGGACTGTTGAACAGAGTGAACATGGAAGATAATTACAATGGGTTTGTATCATTTAATTTTATATTTTACTAGCTGACCCGGCGAACTTTGTTCCGCCTTAATGGCAATAAATAACGGGATAAAAAGTATCCTATGTCCTTCTCCTGGCTCTAAACTATCTCTCTGTCAATTTTCAGCTAAATCGGTTCAGCCGTTCTTGAGTTATAAGTGGAGTAACTAACACGACTTTCTTTTATATAATAGATTTGCAACTTTTAGCTGAATTTTAATGTAATAATATTATTGTAAAGGTACCTGTCAACTTTGTTTTAATTTGTTTCATACATTTTTTTTAATATTTACCTACATGGTGACTGTCTACAGTGTCCACAGTGTGTAACTCAATTTTCAGGTACAGAATTAAAATAAAATTAAGTTGTACCTACCTTGAGTAGAACCAGTAGAACTAGCTAACCAAATGATCAGTTTAATTTTATTATTATTCTATGCGCTCATTTGTTTAAAAAGTGTGTCAAAGAAAAACTTCATTCTTTAACACAAATAAATTACTTTAAAAGTATTTCATATCTTTATGTGCTATAATAGAATTATTATATTAAATTATAATTAACCCATTATAGACTAGCGGTTCCATATGGTACCACTTTTTTGTGTGTTTTAATTTGGCTCTATACATTAACACGAGAAAAGATGCAGTGCTCTGATTGATGCAAGTCGTAGCCAATAGATATGGTCTATGCTTCTAGGAATAAAAATTGACAGTTATTCTTTTCAGTTGTGTGTAATTGATGATTGAAGTGAGCGCATCAAAATTTTCTCTTAAAAATTGACGCACCATTCAAGTAAGTGATCATATTTTTTTTGTGTGATAGTCAAATACTGATTTTGTTACAATCTTGTATTCTCCATAAATGCTTTTATTGTGAAATGGTGTAAAATTACGTCGATAGGTAATAATAATGGGAAATATTGTTTGTCAAAATTACTGGTACCGTACGGTACCGCTAGCCGCTTACCGTGTCTTTTTAATTATTTTATGATTTTTAGTTTTTACTGTATTTATTGGGAAGTATGTGATATATTCAATGGTATATAAAAGGTATACAGCAAGATAAAGTAAAATAGTTACCTATACTTTACAAAACCATGGGTTTTTATTTATTTTAGATGTAACTTACACGAAACATTGGCAGTTTTGGAGGACGATGAAGGTCCCAAGACGAAGCAGATATTTATAGAACGAACTTGGGATAATTGCAACTCTCGAACAATATTAGAGTATAGAAAATGTTATGTGGGGCTAAGTGCAGCGTGCAATGCCAAGCTCCATTCCAAATTTTTGAATATTCAAAGATAAAAATGAATATTGCTTACCCAATATACAGTTTTTTTTACATTTAATATCACTTCTGTTAATTGCTTGTATATTAATACATATTATAATAATAATAAAATATATAATTTACCCTATTTTTATAAAGTCCATGATAATTATGTTTTTACTTACTGACACGGTAAGAGGCTAGCGGTACCATATGGTACCAGCATTTTTTTTCTAGATTACAGGTCGGATCATTTTTTTAATGCTTGTATAGCATTATGTAGACCATAATTATGAACATATTTCAAAAAAACAAAAATCTGACACTTTAAGAAAACTCAGTCTATAATGGGTTAAATTCACTACTCAATCCTTTTGTCACCGGATTAGAGTTAATAGCTATTAAAAAGGTATAAATAACATAAGAGCCTAATGTTATTTTAGATATAAATTTATATTACTTTTTAGATACATCCCTGAGAGCAAAGGCCTAAATCAAATACCTGATACAGCAGTGATTACAAACCTCAATTCCTTGCTAGCTGATATCCATGTACGGTACATTGCATTTGGCCGTAATGACTTCAGGTTGCATTACAGCATATTTGATAAAGTATTTCATCACCTACATCAAACCATGAAGAAAGTAGATCCATACTACCAGAGATATTCGAGCACTGTGAGTACAATAATTAACTTTTTAAAAAAAGAAAACCGACTTCAAATGCGTGAACACAAAAAAAATACTAAATATTAAAAATATTGCGTATAAAAAAGTTCATCCCCAATTTTCCACCCTTGGGGGTAATCAACCTATCTCAAAAACTATAAGAGATACTTTGATCAAACCAAAAATCGTTGAAAGAGTTAATTAGCATGCATCACCTCTATTTTTTTTAGAATTTTATACCCCGTAGTTATAAAAATAGAGGGGGGGGGACATACTTTTTACGACTTTGAGAGCTGATATCTCAAAAACCGTTCACTTTAAGAAAAATGTTTTTTAGAAAACTTTATATCATTTTAAAAGACCTTTCCATTGATACCCCACACGGGTATGTACATCGAAAAAAAAATTTTCATCCCTCAGTTACATGTATGGGGGGCCCCACCCCCAATTCTTTTTTTTACTATTTAGTGTCATAATTTTGTAGCGGTTCATACAACACATATTCCCATCAAATTTCATCACTGTAGTACTTATAGTTTCCGAGTAAATCGGCTGTGACAGACGGACAGACGGACAGACGGACAGACGGACATGACGAAACTATAAGGGTTCCGTTTTTGCCATTTGGCTACGGAACCCTAAAAACATACGGGTCGAATTGAGAACCTCCTCCTTTTTTGAAGTCGGTTGAAAAGAAATTTTTTATAAATACTTTTCTGACCATTTACATTTATAAAACAAAGAATCCCACATCTCATTTTAGATTTTTTACTTAAATTCTTGTTAAATTATGTTATTATTGATTAAAAAAAATATTTTATTAGATAATATGACTTGTACTGCATAAAGAACATTATTGATGAATTTTATTTTAAAATGGGTGTTTTTGAGCAAATGATTATTTTTCCTATATTACCAATATTATTAGCATCACCTATGTTGTCGATAGGTTTTTTTTTGCTCAAACCTTTTTGTTATTTATTTTTTCAAGGCTTCATGTATTATATGCATAAAAATCTTTTGACATTCATTCAAGTTACTAATTACTTATCAAATACATAACACTATTTTAATTGGTAACTCCTACTGTTTTGCTTTCAGCAATAGTTATAGAATGTCGTTAAAACTATAACAATTCCAAAGGAAAAATTACATACAATATAAATAATTCTTATACAATTTTTACCCTCTTTAATCCATACTTTTACAAAATAGGTTCTTAATGTATTTTACCAAGACATAAATTACCAACAATTTATTAGTATACATACAGGATGTATTTTTTATTTTTCCTGAATATAATTAATTAAAGACTGCTACTTTTTTATACCCTTTATAGTAACAACAATAGTAGTTAGTTAGTAGAATAATATACTAATTTAATCACTCCTCAGGTCCTCACTCACAGGTAGATAACCATAACTAAAACAACCAATTCTATTTTAGGTGTCATTTGCCGGAAGTCACTACGATAACTTGCGTATTAAGAAACCCGACGAGTTCGACATGGATATCGTGATAGGGCTGCCTCTTAACATTTCGGACAATCCTTATAACCCATCCGACAGCGACATCAAGTTTGAGCCGCAGGGCGCCGGCTTCGTAGAGCTTAAAATGGGCGTGCAGTACAAAAACCTACCAATGAGAGACGGCAATGACTGGCTGATCAACAAAACCGCATACAAATGGAAAGACGATGACGACTATCTTACTCGATCGAAGTTCATCGATTGGTTCAAGAGTGTCGTTGTGAAGGCGTTGAATCAGTATCAGAGAAGCAGCAGAGGGCATGCTGTCCATTCAGTGGATGGATTGCCGTACACAATCAGGTTGACTGAATCAGGTCCAGCGATAACTCTGATAATAGAGAATTCGATTAGTGGTTTTAAAATGGACGTCGATCTCGTGCCGGCTCTGAGGTTCCCGGAGGCCCGATGGCCGATAGACGGCGAGTACCGTGAGATCGCGCCTCACTGCAAAAGAGACTACTGGTTGGTAGTGCCTAAACCCAACAAGGAGACCAGCAGGGAGGGCATGCAGCGCTCGTGGCGCATTGCACTGCATTACCAGGAGAGGGAGCTTATGCACGACAGCTATAATTTGCGACAGACTATTAGATTCGTAAGTGTCTACGCAAAAACGAACATTATTGCCCGCGGGCGGCGAGCGTTTGGTTCGCGAGCGAACATCCACGAAGACTGCCCTGACGCACTCTTCAACGACTTTGTACTAAACGGTCTCATGTTGTCATTGTTTTTGGAACTAACTTTTGCCCGCGGCTTCACCCGCGTGATATTTAGTTTGTTACATATCGTCATAAATTATAGCATGTTATTCTGGGTTATAAACAATAATACTGTAAAGTTTCAACAAAATCCGTCCAGTAGTTTTTACGTGAAAGAGTAACAAACATCCAGACATCCAAACTTTCGCATTTATAATATTAGTAGGATAGATCACTAATTTTATACAGTCCACTGTCAATTTTGTATTTCATTAATCAACTTCCACTACACACTATCGAAGCAACAGTAAGCGCAAAATGTTTCGGTTTCAGCATCTCACCTGCTTGGAATGCCTCTGGATACGTTAAATAACATGTATTATTTTTTCAGCTGAAGAAACTTCGGGATTCGCAAGGAATGAACAAAATCGCCAGCTACTACATCAAGACATTGGTGCTTTGGGAGGTGGTGCGGCAGAGTGACTCTCTATTTTGGAGGAAGAGTCCAGGCGAACTGTTTGTAATCATGGTGGACAGGTTGCACACAGCTGTGGTGCAGGGAAAGATACCTTACTTCTGGAATCCTAATAACAATTTGCTCGCGGGAGTGCGCAGGACCGTATTGGACGTATACGCTGCCATATTGAAGAACCTCCTCGATGTATTGGCGGAACCCAGTAACTACAAAAGAGTAGCCAAGTTCTTGCTCACTCCAGATGAATTTGATGAATACAATAGAAAGTTTCTGCATATCTAAAATGCTTATTTTTAAAGAATTTAATAGTGCTATGTATTTTTAGTGGAGATAATATTGATAGTTTTATGTTAAATGCATTTAATCAAAGTACTCTATGATATTTTTTATGTAAGTGATATATCAATGAACTGAACAATGTATTTTTAATAATGTAACCTTGTATTTGTGGAATTTATTTTATTGAGTTTTATTGATTGAATATACTTATACAATAATATTTCTAACTTAATTTTTAATCTGTCCTTTGTCTTTAAAAATTATCTTACTTTCAAAGTAAATACAAGCAGTGAACCATAGAGAAGACCACTAAATAATACTTAGCCTGACCAGGAACATAAAAACCCTGGCATAGAGGCGCGTCAATTGCATTTGATAGTGCAACACTGAGTACAGTCGTACCTGTGTTAAATTAACTAATAGGCTAACTTTATGTATCAGGATTCAGGATTACGGGCTAATTTGATATTTTCATAAATTAACGAAAAAATATTATTATAGGTAACCTGGTTTAAATAAATTAAATGAAACCATCAATCGAGCTAGTAGGATTTATTTTATTATTCATCAATAATGAAATTCAGAACTTAAAATATTCAACTGCAATGTCTGCTCATGAACGCTTCAAACTCGGTACTTCTTTCCCAATTCCATAAAATTCAACACTCAGAAAGTGACTAAAAATTTTAAAATAGGTAGTTGAAACAAACCACAGCTAATTTTCATAGTAGACTGTACTATACGATAAACATGTCAGTCAATCTGACAACCTTTGAGGGAAACATTATTCAATGAAAATATTGTCCGAACCCTTAGTATTTCTCTTCGACAAATACTTTAACACATTGTGAACCACTTTTCTTTCACGACTATAAAAAGATTTTAGCAATTTAATTCACAAAATCAATTGCGCACATTTAAAATAAAGTTTGTTTACACTTTGACAGCAATACAGGGTGGAAACGATAAGTGATCTCACTCGATTATTTCTAAACTATACAAGATATCGAAAAACTGATTACTGATCCTGAAAGTGCTTCACGAGCTCTTTCAAACGATATCAGTAATATGTTACAGAATTAACTGGATCTTTTCGAAAATTCAATGTTTTCAGCCTCCATAGTCCATACTAAATGTATGCCACTATGCCAGCCACACAATATTAGAAGTGTTATTTTTTTATTTTAAATAATAAACACTTAAAATTAACTTGTAAATTGTTTATTCTAATATAAAATTATCCATGGAAAACATTGTTTTTAGACTTTACTTGCTATAATATTATCAAGACATGAGTGCCATGACTGTGTCAGTACTAAATGTATGGAAGCTGGAAACATTGAATTTTCGGCTAGATCCAGTTTATTTTATAACTTATCATTGGTACCGTTGGATAGAGCTCGAGAAGCGCTTTCAGGATCAGTTACCAGTTTTTTGATATCTTTTATAGTTTTTAATATTATGTGGTTTTACTAAATGTATGGAGGTTGGAAACATTGAATTTTTAGATAAATCCAGTTTATTTTGTAACCTATTATTGGTACCGTTGGATAGAGCTCATGAAGCACTTTTAGGATCAGTGATCAGTTTTTGGATATCTTGTATAGTTTAGAAATAATCGAGTGAGATCACTTATCGTTTCCACCCTGTAGACTGACATGCAAGGTGACATGTCAATGAAGTTTTCAGTTACTGTTGCCATTAAAAGAAATTAGTACCATTAGTTTTCCGCAACATGGCGAGGGTTTTTATGTTCCTGGTCGGGCTATACCTACCTTATTTTGATGAGTGTCACAAAGTTTTCCCTATTCTACCACTTAAGCTACCGCTAACTATCTCCTTAAAATCGTCAGTCCATCAGCTGGGCACTGATCATTAATGCTTGCCAAGACTGTCTTTAATCGAGATTTACTCAACCTTTAGCAGGACTAGTTTACTGATAGAGACAGCCTACTCTTGGTTGAAGTTTAAGGTATACCTCTCGTTCCTACTGCTGCAACTATAGCCAGGAACCCAACCTTCATTGATTGGGCCAAGTTTGCCCAAGGGGAAAATTTTCAGGGACAGGCGAAAATAATCGCCCTATCTATTCCTAAAGAAAATTAAGTTTTATTTACATCGGAAGCATTGGCTTTACTGTGACGGTGTCCATGAAACAAATACAATTTCCTATTTAATTTCCGTCGCTCTTATCGGCCATAACGAGGGTCTTAGCATTCACAAAAGGCGTCTCAAACTAAGTAGTTATACTTTATGCTAAGGTCTTTGGGTAAGGTATTTTTATTATGGTTTCATCCACGAAGACGCGCGAATTTTTGATCGAGGGAAGCGCGGGGTGCAGAGAGTTTAATCCGAGCGTCATTATTGTAGATATTCTCTATTACTCATGGATAATTTAGCGTGTACCGATAACACTTAAACATTAGCGGAAGTATGGTGGGGCGCGTCTTCGTGGATGAAACGATCTGTAATAGTGACGCACAACCTTTTTTAACGTCGGGAAATGCTTTAGTTGGGTTATGTGGGACTCTACCCGCCTGCTCACTAAAGGCGGGGCCTACCTACCCACTAAAACCCGACGGTGTCCACCGGAGCCCAAAGAAATAGTGATGTACAAGTACACACACCGGCAGATTTAGCGGAACGCAAAAAAAAGTATGAAAATAAGGAAAATTACTACTGATCTATGAAATATTTATTATACAAAATAAAGAGATAATTAAAATAAAATAAAATAACATATATTTTTTAAATATTTAGTCGTTTTTATTTAATAAAAAATCATCGAAACGAAATTTCAATTTTTCAGTTTTGAACAAAAATTAGAAATTGTGGCCAGATTAAAAATTAGGGTAGCTTATCACTATCCAAATGAATGAATTAATGATGGGTATTTCCCCCTCTTGCTCTGATGATGGTTTCCATTCATCTGAGCATGCTGCAGTTAATGATATGAAGGGTATTTTGGGGCAATGTCTGCCATTCCTCTAGTAACGCGTTTCTCAACACCACCGGTGGTATTCTGAGTTTAACACATCTTTTAAGAAAGTCCAAGACATGCTCTATAGGATTCTTGTCTAGGGATCTTGCCAGCCACTGCATCATGGGTATATCCAAATGGTTTAGATGTGCCTGTACTGAGCGAGCACTGTGAAAACGAACATTATCGTGAATTAAACTAAAGGAGTCCACAATAAATGGAGTAAATGGCACATCATGTTCTTCTAAAATGTTCCTAGTGTACCATTCAGAAGTCGTATTTCCTCCATCACCCACCACTAACTCCGTGCGAGCTCCCAAAAAAATCCTTCCCCACACCAGAATTAAGCTACCTCCATAAACCACGATATTTTCAAAATTAAGACTAAATGTTACGTTCTCTTTGTGTCTCCATATTCGCTATCTTCCATCGATCTGGTTTAAGAGAACTCTGCACTCATAAGTGAAGAGATCATGCCTCCAGTCGTTCAAGACCCAATCACGATATTCACGTGAAAAGTTCAATATGTTTTTTCGGTGCTGTGTCACAAGTTGGAGCTTTCTCGGGTATGCACGACCCTATACCAACTTCAGTAAATCTCCTGTGAACTGTGGGCTCAGTCACTCTTACTCCTCGAGTGTCTTTAAGGTTATTTCTGGCTTGAACAGCAGGTAACCGCGACTTTCTGAAAACTCGAAGTTGTAAAAAACGGTCATCCCGTCGCGAAGTACGCCTTTTTCTGACTTGAACCCTCCTCCTAACGACAGAAATGATCAATCTGTACCGTTGGTTACTGCCATGGGTGGTCGATACTGATCAACGACGTCTTACGGCAGCCGATTTGTATGCATGGCCGTTACTTCTCATTTCATCTGCCTTAATGATTTCTGACGGTGCTAAGCTGGGCATAATAAACCCTTATAAGTAACTGAATGCTTACACAACAAAATTCTCAGAAAAAAACATCTTTCACGTAAAAGAAATCCAAATTAGCAAAAGCTTCATTCAATTCAAAACACTCAACGAAACTGTTGATGGGGTAATTTAAACAAAATAATTAAAAAAATATACTGTTGGCAATTATTTTTTTCATATTTAGAATTAAATTAAAAAATAATGTCATAATTAGGCATTTTTTTCCTAAAATAATGATGATATTGATGCTTTTTTTTCCGTTCCTCTAAATCTGCCGGTGTGTGTACAAAGTAGAAAGTAGGTATCTTAGACAGACTACCTCAAGGAACCTTGTGACTAGCTTTTTATTTAAGTATTTAAACTTTTAGCACATATACAAACAATGCACTATAGGCGTACTTAATACTGGATGCTGGATGGCATTCTCTGCCAGTCAACCACGGGTCATGCAGAAAGAGGAAGGCGGTGCAAAAAATTCTTCTTCCCGCTAGCTCCTTCTGAATTTCGGTCTAGAACAAAAAGTTTACAGTTTTAAATTCGTAATAAGTAAAATAAGTATCTGTCCACTGTGATGAAATAAACGATGAGTATCACGTATTAATATGCAGGCACTAATAAAGGCTTTATTCAATTCAAAACTGCTATTATAAAACCCTTAACTAACAATACCTGTGATCGTTAATTACATGGGCGGTCCTAAATATAATAGGAACTAAAATTGCCAACGTCCAACCTGTGATTATGTATGACAAAATATTCACAACTGCATTTCCACCGTGAAATTCTCACGTAATTAATAATTATTTAGTGGAAATTATAACGTCTATTCAGTTAGCGGGCTTAGTAACGAGACTAAGAGAGCGCGTTGCATTGTCCTAAGAGCTAAAATGATGTGGAACATTCGTTTTTTAAAAGAAAAACGTTTCACAATTTTAAATGTCTTCAATTTCCTTGAGGATCCAAGATACCCTTTAGTAGGCCCACATCTCCGCTTGCTTGGGCTCACGGGGCTCTGGCACCCGAACCTCAATTCCAAGACCCGATTCAAGCAATACCTGTTCTTCATTACCATCGCCTTTTTCTTTAGTCAATACGTCAAATGTGCCGTGAAACTCGAACCTAGTTCTCTCATGCTCATTCTGCAATACGCGCCTTTCCACTTAGGCATCATCAAGTCATGTTTCTTTCAAAAGGACCATAAGAAGTGGGAAAGCCTCATAGACTACATATCAGGCGTGGAACGCAAGGAAATAGCCAACGGGAACAAAGATAGTAACGACATTATCTCGGAATACATCAGTCGCAGTCGAAAAGTGACTTACTTCTTCTGGGCGTTGGCATTCTTTTCAAATTTCACTATTTTTACGGAGCCATACCAAAAGAACCAAATAAATGTGAATGGTACAAGTGTTTATTTAAAAATATTTGATGGGTACACTCCATTCAGCGAAGTGCCTCCAGGGTACTACGCGTCTATGCTCACGCAGACTGTACTTGGGCACATCGTAAGTGCCTACGTGGTAGGATGGGATACCTTAGTTTGTACTATCATGATTTTCTTCGCTGGGCAGCTCAAGATATCTCGTTTGAATTGTGCCAATGTTATTGATATTAATAATACTGAAAGAAGTCACAAAAATATTGTAAATTGCCATAGTTTCCACACAATCCTTGTAAAGTAAGTATTAAATGCAGACGAATCAGTAAAAAGCTCTGAGCAATTGAATTATTTTAAGTGCTATTTATTTCATTTCAGAAACCAGAAGCTGTTCAACTCCTTGATATCACCTGCAATGTTTGTTTATTTAATAGTAATTTCTGTGAACCTCGGAGTTTGCATTATAGGCATCGTACAGGTAAGAAGTTACTAATAGAGCTTTTTGAACCATATTAGTAGTTATTGGTTAATAGCTTTTTCATTCATTATTCTTCCAGAATCACTTCTTAAGTATTTATCTAACCGTGCACGGTTAGCTAGCTTAAAACAGTGAGTAGGTATTTTGTATTTATAAAGAAAAACCTAAATATCACTTTTTCAGTTGCAAGACGATTTAACGACGCTCATCTCTAGCTGCGTATTTGTGATGGCGTGCCTAATACAACTTCTGCTTTTCTATTGGCACAGCAATGAGGTTACAGAAGAAGTAAGTAAGTTTAATATTTTTTGTCTAGGAAATTCGACGAACATTGTCAGCTTTTGAGAGTCAGTCAACCGATCCAATTTGGTTGTAGAAGGTAGGTACATACACTGGGCAGGGTGCCCAGGGATCCCATGCATGTCATTAGTATAAACAATTTATTATAGTCGACAGCCCCTGAGACTAATTATTTTTTTCAAAATGGCACCTAGGTACTTAATTACTATTAAGATGCCACTGTATTTAGCTTGGTATAATATTAACGACAGCTAGTTACTATTCCAGAGTACCCTAGTGAGCTACGGCTCCTTTGAATGCGACTGGGTGGAGCTGGACCAACGGTTCAAGAAGGAAGTGGCGCTGCTGGGAATGGCCACCCGGACCAGGCTGGTCTTCAAGGCTGGGCCGTTCAACGAGATGTCACTTACCACCTTCATAGCGGTAACTATCGTATCTTACGTAAATCATATTCTTACTTAATGAACCGACCGAATTTTCAACTCTAGCTAGAGTTTACGACATAGATTTTTACATCACCTATCGTGTTTGGGTAGAATATATACTTACCTCGCTTTTATTATGAAAATGTTGGTGCAGTAGAACGCCGATTATCCGAATTAATTGGGACCGGGGTCGATTCGGATAATCGAAAATTCGGATAATCGGACATAGACTGGTAATAAAGAAAAAGCATGTTAAAAACGAACTGTCACACATAGAATAAACTTTAATAACTGTGTTTACAGTTCTACAAGTCGCTCAGTTGAAATATATCTAGACTCCTGCGAGTTCCAACTTGTTACACCAATAGAAAACAAAAAATACTTGGGTTTTAATTTTTTATATTAAGCTTAGGACCGATTCGGATAATTGGCGATTCGGTTAATCGGCGTTCGGATAATCGGCGTCCTACTGTAAGTAGGTCCAATAGTTCGCAAACGACTACTCTACATGGGACTTTGCTATGGCAGGTCTAGTTCCAATCAACCTGTATACCTAAATAACAATTGGGTCAAAAATGTATAAGTAAATAATAAGTAGCTTTTCTTTTCAGATCCTGCGATTAAGCTGCAGCTTCTACACACTTCTTAGTAAAACTATGTGATTACTTGCTAGTAAAACCTAGTAGAATTTCATTTAAATACTTACCCGGAAGAATTTCATGAATAAGTTGCGGTAAACCTTGTATTTTCCATCTACTGAAAGTACTAAAGGACACTTTTCTAAAGAAAATGAAACTTAAATTAATGAACTAAGTAAAGCTTGGATTTTAGGCTAAGAGTAAGGATTCTGTTACAATAAAGTTTTAAATTTTTGGTATCTAATAAAGCACGCTGTTTGTACATTAGCCAATTTCGCTCGTGTTTTTATTATTTACTAAGTAAATGCCTAGATTTTATAATCTAACCCGATTACCCCAAGGGATGCAATTGCTATGAGAGATAAGTAAGTAGGATTGTAGGATATCTTTTTGTACTACTTACCTTCCACAAAACAGATCTGTGCCTGTAGTATAACCAATTAAAGCTTTAATTGCAATTAAACAGACTAGGAAATATTTAACCTGAGAAGGTAAGTCGGTATCTAATCTACGGATTGTTACTATTTTTTTCAGGTGATTCAGTAAGCAAGTGGGTATTGCTTAAACATGCAGTTACATGTAGTTTCATGAAGTGCTTTAAAAATAAAAATCTTTTAAATCATAATACGCGTATCATTTTAGAACATTGATTAGCTTATCAACACGACAAAGACGTATCACGATTCACGCTTATCTTCGCCTCGAATTGGATATTTATATCTTTCGTAAATAGCTCGACCGAAGTGATACCTACTGTTGATGTGATACAATCGTTTAGCACAAACTTCAGATTTGCCGCTCAAGATTCCCGCAGAGAATCGATTAAGCTAGAAATCTCTCGTTAATCGATTCCAATTCAGATAGTTCCCATCCCAAATGCGGATGTGAATTCTATTAAACATACACACAAACTACGTGCTGAGTTGGAACTCGTGTGTACTCAGCGTTTGGGGTGCCAGCCAAGACCGAAAGCTAATGGAATACGTCATTATTAATATACTTAATTATAAAGACTGAACTCTTAATAGGTACTTTTGAATGGTTAGCCTTTTTAAAGTAACCCTTTTTTGTGACGAGAGCATAGGTAAGTTAATTACTGATCGCTTCCTCTCCATATGGGACGCTCTACTTATAAAAATTCTCAAACCTACCTATTTGATTGCACGCCTACAGTTATTTATACTACACTAGCTTTTGCCCACCCGCGTGAAATTTAGTGTCACAGATCGGCATAAATTATAGCCTATATGTATGTTAATCTGGGTTACAAACAATAATACTGTAAAGTTTCAACAAAATCCGTTCAGTAGTTTTTGCGTGAAAGAGTAACAAACATCCAGGACAATATCCACACAAACCATTTCGCATTTATAATATTAGTAGGACATACATAAGAAAAAGATATCGATATTTGCAACAAAAGTCGATATTTTTAGTGCTCCCAACATCCCTTCAGAACATCATCAACCCCTCATCATAATTATTCCAGCGTGCGTTTAGCTGCTAGCCGTAGCAGACAAACTTTACTTACTTATACCCTCGCTGACATACCTAACCCTTGCAGTAATTCCACTCAGCAGTAGTCCATACCTCCGGGATTACCATATAAATTGTTTTGAATCCGACGACTACACCGCGTTAAATTATTTCGCGAACTTCGCAAATTTACATGGTAATTGCTAAAACTCAAGATTTGTTGTTGAATTCCTGATTGTGCGGTTGGACGAATCGGAGTGGGTTAACGAGGTAAGAACAAGATCTGGTAGTCAGATTAGTGACGCGTTTGAGGGATGGACTCTGCTAGAGAATTTTACATTAAAGACATGTTTTATGCCGGCCAATTACATTTCCACTAACAACACAAATATTAAAGAAAAGCTTCGCGTACCTAAACCTATTTCCCAGCTGCTGCTGCCTAGAAGTTTTTGGGGCTTATAAATTCAGCAACACTTACGAACATTATTTAGCTTTACAGCCAACTTTTTCAGATTACGTGACTATTCCCACCTCTCTCTGCCACCGCTGCAACTCCAGTGTAGCCAGGATCTACAGCTTGACCGCCAATAAAAAAGCTTTTCAGATACCTACCTTACTTACTCGCGATTTGATTGACAATGCTACTAACTTAACTACTCAAGTTTATATTTTACAAAAGTAATTTTTTGCCACAGAAAATCCGCTTTAAGTAGGCTCTTACAAAGCTCACTCAGAGTAAGCTATACTTAAGTATGTACACCTTATACTTGACCCTTAAAACTTCATCTTATCTTGATAAGTGCCAACATTGTAGCATTTATGTACAAAATACAATATCGGACCAATGTTAGTGGGTCTCCTCAAAACCATGGCTTCTCAAAGTTTCATACAAGTCCACCACATTTATTAAGGGGGAATTATTTTACTCCAATTTCAATTAGCAAGCCAACCGCACCGTAACTTTTGCTCGACTGAACTTCACGACGCCCGTAACGTACGATTTTGAGGCGAAACAAGTACCTACTACCCAACAAACATGGTTGAAGCGCAGGTCTAAAGCATTCTGCTGGTTTATTACAATAGTTCAGATTTCCGCGGCAACTGGATTCCAGCTTCAGAGACACATTCGTTAGAATGAAACGCTCGAAAAGTTTCTACTGCTCGTTAACTTTAGACAACAAATTCAAACTTCACGTTAACTCTGTGTTAACTAAGTATGATAACGTTACGATACTGACACTAAAAGATGTATATAGACCCGTTCAACCAAGCTCAAAACTGAATTCAAACTCAAGTAGATTTCGACATTATTATTATGATAGAGTCGCTTCAAAGTACTATACCTACGGGTCTGTTTTAATTTTTTCGGTCAACATTATTGTTTATTGTTTTTAACAAGTAAAGATTACAATCACACTTTGTTTTCATACTGACCTGGATTAGTCAGAGGACGGTGTTTTCCACTTATTAGGTACTTATTTTATCTCTACGTTATCGTATTAAATTACGTACTTGTAAAACTGTATCTTTAATGTACGAGTATTTCGTAGAATCTCAGTCAGTTAGGTAGCTACGTACTTTCGTAGAATCTTTATAGTTACTTATTACTTATCTTCGTTTTATATTTCTACAATTTATGAAAATGTTATGTAAAACTACTAATTAGCGTTCAACCTGTTTAGGTACTGGTAAGATAGTAATTAAGCCTCTCTCGACTCAAAGGTTTTGGATTTGACACCCAGGTGGTTACCTATAACACCACTTTTTTACATAGCTCATTTGATGGAAAGCGATGATCAGGCTGAAAGTGCTGAAAGCTTCACCCGGAATCATCAACCACAGAGGAACTGGCTATCTTACCCCCTAACTGCCGTTACAGAACAGTGATGTAACATTGTTGTTATGGCGACCAAACCGAACAGAAAAATCTATCCCCACTGGGAATCGAATCCGGGACCTTTGGGTCTTACCAATAGACCACAGAGGCAGTTTTTATGTAAAATGAGGTGCTTAGAGCGTATAATTTGAAAGGGCCTGTCCAAAATTCTATCTATCGAATGACTCCAAGATGGGGCACTATACAAGTTTCGTAAGAACAATGTACTTTACCGACATTGTAAGGGACGCTTGTTACGAACAGGAGATGAGAGTTTGTTTGCGAGCGATTCCGGAGTTCGACCGTAACGCTCCGGAACCGGCCGGGTCCGGGGCTGGATGTTCATGTTGTAATACAGCGCCTTTGAGGAAACTATAGCAAATGCGTTGTATCCAGTAAATAATAAAAAGGTTTTAAGTAGGTAGGTATAAAATACTTGCAAAAAGACTAGGTAGAGTCTAAAGACGATTTAATTTATTTACTAGTCTTTCATACACGTTTTGTCGCGGCTCAAGAATATAACGTAAGTAAGTACTGTCGCCTACACATTTGTAGCACCTTTGTTTGTCGCAACTATGATATAATAGATGTCTGAACTGAACTGTCCCACCAAACTCAATGACAGGGGGGCGCTACCATCGTTCAACTATATGGTTTCCAACATGGCAAAAATCGGAACCAGCGATCCGGTAGTGACGGTGGCGCCCCACTGTCAATGTCATGCATAGGACAGTTCAGTATTTTGGAACTATATTAAAGTATTGTTAACTACTTATTTTTATAATACGGAAGAAAATCAACCAATCTTTTTCAAGCGTAAACATTGAAATTGACGTTGAAAATATTATAAGGCACGGGAAATAATAGGATAAGATTTTGAAAGGGGGATATTTTATTAAATTACTATCTAGTTATGTGATGAAGACAAAAAAGTCATCAATATTACTTAATTCATTTATTTAATATCGCAGTAAACTGTTGAATAAACATAAAACTCACATGCTATATTGCGGCTTAATTCTGCTAATATTTTATATCGTAAAAGACCTCTAAATTCTAGGTCTTAGACGTCACTTTGGTTTCAACACGAATGTAATAAACAGAATTAAGTCCTGTATAGCATAATTATGTAAATGACGTCACATTGGGAATAGTGACGTCACGTCTAAACGACCTGGACGTAGCTCTCCACGTAGTTCCCGCCGATGATGTTGGTGGCATTGCAGCCGTAGTAGCCGCCGTCTCCCTTCTGGACCTTGTTGATGGTCAGACCTTTAAAGAAAAGTTTTACTTTCAGTATGCGGAACTATTCCCAACTCTCGTTCCCACCGCTGCAACTCCTGTGTAGCCAGGATCTACAGCTTGACCGCCAATAAAAACCCAACCAGTGAGGGTCAAGTTTGTCACGGGGAAAGTTAAACTATCATTGGACCCGCAAGGAAATTAATCAGAAGAGTTTGAAGTTTGAAATTAAGGTTCGACTTCTCCTTTAATTTCATATGTCGTCCATTTGCTACGACAACGTGACATCTTCTGTGTTAATCTAATTGACGATGTCACACTGTCGTCGCAAATGGACGATGTGCATAAATAAGTAAACTTGACATTAGTTGCTTATAGCTTGTAGAATGATAAATTTGCAGATGTGACCATTATGGAAAATTTCGACGAGGGTGCCTCGCCCAACCAATGTCGCCAAGTAAGGGAAAAGTTGTGATTCGCAATTGATCTTTTCATGTTTTAGTAAGTAAGTATAGTGGAGGCCAAATGATGAAGTTACCTTTGTCGCTGAAAGAGAAAACCACCCTCCTGCTTCCAGCCACCGGCTTAGCGTTAAGCATCCAGGCGGCTTAAAATTCACCTCACACGGGAGGAACAGGTCATCTCCCTTCGTACTCCTGCAGTGGAGACCAAATGAAGATGTTACCTTTGTCGCTGAAGACCACCCTCCTGCTTCCAGCCACCGGCTTAGCGTTGAGCGTCCAGACGGGCGCGGCTGCGGGCTTAGCCTTCACCTCACACGGGAGGAAGAGGTCATCTCCCTCTTTGGCTTGCACACGCTTCTCGGGCTTCTTCACAAACTCCGGAACGCCTGGAAAAGAGATAATATAAAAATATTAATGCACCTCTGCTGATTTATCTGGTTTTTGAGACTGAGAGCGCCATCTATTGAGAGCTTTTAGTACTCAAATAATGGTAGATGGTGTACCTAATCGGAATCGGACAGTGTTGTCAGTGTTGTATAGTTTCAATTTACTATGAAACGAAGCTCAATAGGTATAGATTCCAGACTGTAAGTAAATAGGTAGTTAGAAATTTTAGTTGATACAATCACATGCATAAATAGGTAGGTTAGTCTTTTCGGATAAGTTCCCCTATGCACCGCTTCCGATTTGCACCACTCATAAAATTCAAAGAATGTGATGCGTAGCGCACTTTTTTCCTAGGTATTTTAAGAGTGGTGCATAGTGGTACTGCATCTGGTGCATAGCAAAATTAACCGGTCTTTTCTATACTTGAGCGTACAATATTGAAAAGAATCTAGCCGAATTCAATAAAAACTACAACATTGACAGTGTTACTGTTACGCCATAAGTAATTACTTAGAACTAAAAATTATGTGCAGTTGAAATAAGTCCTGTTTAGCAATATGAAATAATCTGAATTCTGATCTGTACTCACTGACGACGTTCAAATGGAAGCTGTAGTTCTCCGGTTTGCCCAGCTCATTGTTGATGACACAAGTGTAATGGCCCTCGTCCTCCAGGAGAGTCTCCTTGATGAGCAGCCGCTTGCCCTTGCTGCGGTTGTGGCGGGTCACGCGGTCTTCAGGCTTGTTGTTCACGTTCACACCGTCTTTGTACCAGTCGGGGTAAGCTTGGGGGCTGGAACAGGCAATTCGGAACTTTATTTCGGCGCATTAAAGTCTAAATATGAACACCTACGGGTCCTGGGACTCCTGGGATATTATCATTTTCCTCTTTAAAGGGAAATTGCTAAGCATTTCACCGATTTGTCAATACAATAGAGATGTAGTCAATACATATTCGCTACGTAGCTTTGTAGCGTTTTAAAAGTTCAAGAGTAGGTCGTACTGTACATCTACTAAGTATGTCAATTAAAATTCTGTAATAAGAATATTTAGCTAGGCTATTTTCAGGGCACTTAGATACCTGAACAAGAATTATGTCCCAAATATTATCTAGCCTATCACCACCACTATGACTATTTTAAGGCTACCACTATTTTTTAATATTAGAATGGCATTTAGTGTTATTTTTGCATATATTAGTCATTCACGTTACAACATTACACACACCGTGGACACGTGATAACATTTTTTAAATTCCACGCAAAAATAGCATTTCTAACGGAATGCGCAGAATTTATGGTGGTGCTATTTACCCCATTTATGTTGTTTGGGAAAATACAATTTACAAGGAAAATATCTAGTTAGGTACCTAAATAGGAAAAACTACGTATTATAGAAGTCGACCGAAGACCTTAAAAACAACTTAATAAGACCAACTAACATTATTAATGCAAGTGGTCATCAGTGAATGTCTCTACTATAGGATAAAACAACACCATGTGGTTTTCGTTCTATGAAAATCTTTACATTCTTATGGTATGAGCTAACAACTCAAGAAATACAGTCTGAACAGCTTACTTTAAAACTGAAATGACTACTTAAAACACCAAATGTTCGCGAAGCGTGTCGTTCGTATTCCAGTCGCGTTGCAGCTGAAATTTTTATCGCAATCGGGGCCTGTCTAGTTTAGAATCACTCACCTGCTACCATAGATGCAGTACAAGAAGGTTTTCTCTCCAACGATGGCGGTCGCATCGTTGGGGGTCACGTACAGCTGGGTGACCTCGTGGTCGGGCTTTGGGTTCTTCTCCAGACCCTCGACGATGTGCTCCGCCAGAATCACCTCGCCGTCCACAGCTGGAGTCGTGGCGACGCACACGTATTTGAAGCTAGAAAGGTTACTTTGAACTTTAATGCCTTCTTTCATGGTACAGTTCGCACTTCGATAACTTTTTTATAATGCGAACAGCTAGGGACTGGAATAAGCTGCCTGCTGTCTTTCCCGAATAATCAGGGGCTTTTCAAGGCGAGACTGAATAGGCACTTACAGGGCAGAATCTATCTGGTGCGATTGCGGTCAAATACCTGCCTTGTTATGCATAAAAATCATGCTCATCGCAACTTTTAGTCAAGTGGCGTAAACTGTATATAAATTCGTTGTTACACAAAATAAATGTCACATTTTACATACATATCCTCTACTTTATGAACTCTACGCGTGTAAAGCCGTTCGACACCATGTTTTAATAGGTATTCAATACTATATCTTCTTACACAAGACATTGGATGGCCTTTAACTAATATGGAACCTGCACCACACTCACAGCTATCTGCATGACTGGCAGAGAATGCTTTAAGCGTTAAAGTCCACCTTTTGTACGCTATTTGTGCAAGTTTAAATAACATAAAAAACGGAATATGGAATAGGTGTTTCAGTTTAACTTACTCAGTGCTGACATCTTCTTGAGTAGCGTTGGTGAAATACAAATCTCCGTTATCAGAAATGGTGATTCTGCCGTCCAGTATAGTCTCAGACTTGCTGCTGTCGGACACTGACTGTTTCTTCCACTCGATGGTGGGCTTGGGGTGACCGGATGGTACATTGCAGTCCAGCTTGAACGGCTTGCCTTCTACGGGCTTCACGCGCTTGGTGGACACTTGGGGGTCGAGGAGGAAAGCTTCACTCACGCTGATCAATTTGGTACTTGCGACACCTTTGTAGAAAAGAAAAGGTTTTTGAAATAAAGGATGAAAGTTTGCTTAGTATGAAAAATCAGTAAATTCTCATCACGACCATATGAAAGCTGTTATTTTGAATTTTCATGAAACTATTACCGCGATATACTTTTTGTGACAGACCGAAAGTTTGTATCGCGATACAAGGCAAACTCGCAGGCATAAGCTGTACTTAAATAAATATACATGTAGATCAGTGGTTATCCCGACCTTTTTTCTGGACCAGGGACCACTTTTTCTTTCTTTATTGTTTGCAGGGACCATTTAAATCGTTCGCGGACCATATTTTAACTCCTGCGAACTACTGGTTGGGAACCTCTGACATAGACGAGTATAATTATACCTGCTGATGACGTGGCCTGGCACTGGTAGTCGCCTGCATCAGTGTTCTGCGGCGCCTTGAAGATCAGACGGCTACCACTTTGCTCAGCGGCCTTAGGGTCCACCTTCTTAGCATATCTGAACCATTGGTAGGATCTGTTGATGAAACGAAACAAGTAAATAAACCGTACCACCCAGAGGACCACCCTGTGTATGCCATCTATGATCATCCAATAAAAAAGTAGGTAAGAATTGTATTTGATTTTATTTGTCTCGCTCAAAGTTGGCGTTTACAAAGTTTTTATTGGTGCTGAAGCTATAGATCCTGGCTACTCAAGAGTCGCAGGATATTACTGCTCATGCTCACTTCGAATTAATTCAAAAATATAACCATATGTGGGACAGATAGACTTATCAACTCGGAAAGGGATCTACACCGTATCGCCTTTCGTGGACTGTCATCACCTTTCACGCGCTGTCAACCGCGAGGCAAGGTGTAGGTACGTTACAGTGCGGAAAAGTGTACGTTGCAGTTTGGATTTGCATACAAAGAATACTGACCGCCTCGAGTTGATACGGTTACGATCCCTTTCCGGGTTGATAAGTGTGCTGCTAGTAGTAGCAGGTAGCGCGAACGGGTAGTAGCCTACTACCCGTTCGCGCTAAGTTTGCCGGTCCATGGAATGCGCGTCCCCTCCCCCAACCGCGATTAAACGCAATTAGTTGGTGAATAACGCAATTAATGTGTCTTATTTCGTATTTCGGGCTATGCTCGGAGTTTCCCCGCGTGATCGAATCAAAAATGAGGAGATCTGCAGGAGAACCAAAGTAACCGACATAGCTCGCAGAATTGCTAAAATCAAGTGGCAGTGGGCGGGGCACATAGCTCGTAGAGACGATGACCGTTGGGGCAGGAAAGTTCTCGAGTGGCGACCACGGGCTGGAAGACGTAGCGTGGGCAGGCCTCCTACTAGGTGTACCGACTATCTGGTAAAGGTCGCGGGAAGAGCCTGGATGCGGGCAGCGCAGGACCGTTCATTGTGGAAAACCTTGGGGGAGGCCTTTGTCCAGTAGTGGACGTCATTTGGCTGAAACGAACGAACGAACGATTTCGTATTTTAAATATAGTTCGATAAAGTTATAGACGATTCCCTTCGAGTAACGTCATATCGCCAGCGGCAAACTTAAAGCGAACGGATAGTACGTCCTTTATCGTACTCTTAGCAAATGAATAAAATATCTTAAGGTACTACTCACGTGATTTCGGAACTGTCTCCAGAGTCCACGGCGCAGTCAAGCTCGAAGGGCTTCCCTGCCCTATAGAGGACTTTTGTAGGGGGGTCTTTTAAGACCGGCGCCTGCTTTTGAGCCAGCGACAACCCTGAATAGTAGAAGAGTCGGTTACCATGAGCACTAGACATCAAATCCAACATAGAGAAACATAAATAACCAAGGAGGGTTGTATGGCGCAGTCGGGTAAAAAATACAATGCAAGATCCGACACATCATAAAATCGGGAACCAATTTTTAATTGAATACGACATATTTATTTCGGTTGCGTTTAATAAGATGGTTTCATTCAGCCGTCGAAAAAAATGAGTAAGTATTACCGCAGTAATGGATTAAAGTTTATGTTTACAAATAATGCGATAAATCTGAGTTACTTGCACAATAAAATCTAAGCATGTGCTTAGAAATTATATTCATAACTATGTAGTTATGCTTATAATTTGTAATTGATAAAAAGAGTAACTTACCTAATCCTAATAGCGCTAGGAAAGCGACGAAACCACACTTTGACGACATTGTTAATCCTGAAAAAAAAATTAACTGTCTTAATTTACAAGTGAAAAATTTGAAACAGGGTTAAAGTTGTGTTAAATATAACTAAAAAGAAAATAAAACAAAATTATATTTTACGAGACAAAGTAAAAAGTATATTTTTATTTATTCACTGTAGGTACTGTAAATTAATGTATGACTGAAATTCATTTATCTACTTTCACCGGTGGATACCGGTGAATACCGGTAAATTAAATTAAATTCTAGAAACTTAGTTGGATAACTAAGATTCTAGAATTTAATTTTATTTTATTTAACAAGATTTTTTTTAAAGAAAATAACTGAACGTAGCCGTACCTACCGTCAATGTCACTTCTTGGCGGGAAACTGCAATAATGGCCGCCTTCGATGCGTTTTATAGCAAATCTGGCGTGAATAATTCTCATGTAAAGTACCGCGAGCGTGTACAGACAACGGCTCATCATAAAAAAACACTGGCACCTTATGTAAATTGTAATAGAAGCTACTTTGAAACAAAAATGTAGTCATAATATATGCTGTCGACTGTACATACACTAGGTACAGCGATAACCTAAGGTTATTGGCATGAAAATGACCAATATATGCATCATACAGGTAAAGTAAATACTTTTATGTTGTTTACAAAACCACTTACTAGACGAAAAAATTGTGTAAACTTTGAAAACCTGAGTGTGAGCTTTGCAGGTACTTGCGCATCTCATTAACAGCCTTACGGTCAGGTTTTGGAATAAATGTTGAATCCCAGAACGCTATATTAATTTCTGAATATTTTTTATTTATTATTTAAACAATTTCATAGTTGGAACGACCTCCGTGGTCTAGTGGTTAGATAAAAGACTCTAGATCTAGAGGTCCTGGGTTCAACGGGTCAGTCAAATCAGCGTAAAATTAATTCTTCTTTTCCATGCTGGTTAATGGAATTGCAGGATAGAACCAACCTGAATGAACGTTAAAGTTATAGACTAAAAAGCATCTCTTGCTTTTTTTAACTTCTTAATGCTTTTAATGTCTTGAAAATTCCGCAAAATAAAAATACGTTAATATTTTTGTAATGGTAGAGATCGTAGCATATAGAGAGAAAATGTTTTCATTTGTATACTCGTAATAGGTAATCCAAAAAACACAGATATGTTTATTGAAACTGCATTACCTAATGAAGCTACTATTTCAGCGCATTAATCACCATCTTAGCAAACAAACCTTTCTCAAGAAGTTTCTACATTTGCACAAACAAATATTAATTCCTAGGAACTGATAAAAACGTCTAGGTATTCCTAGAAAAGATATGTTAATATCTAAAATCTAACATAGAAAAAACAAGACACTCATAATTAGTTACCAAACCTGGTATAGGAAGTAGCTTTAAGGTTAGTTGTAACTGGGAAAATATAATTTAGTATAGGTAAACAGGTAAAAATATTCAAAAACTCTTCAGAGGGTGATCTCAGAAGAATACCTGATTGTCATGAGGTAACATTTGTAATACTTACACGTCAATCAGACGCATCTGTGTTTTCTAAGAATAAGAGCATAATAAACTGTAAACATACGGAGAGCGATTGTGAGCAGCCCCGCGCTTTGTTAAGAGAAATCGGCTTATTCTACTATTAGTGAACTTTTTGTTCACTATTCCCCGTTAACGCCAATTGGAGCTTATAATGTTAAAAATAAAATCCTATAATAACGGGGAATAGTGAACAAAAAATACACTAATCCCCGTTGACGGGGATTGTCAACGGGGAATAGTGCAATAAGCCGAGAAATCCAATCTAAAACGCATAAGTATTGTGATTGAAATATGGAAGGAAGCACTAACTTAGGCCACATTTCTGGAACTTTTATGCACTCTATTTTGTGCTGTTACTGTTTTTAGTTGGTGGGTACCTACTAAAGTTGATACGACTACGAGTGTTCTTAACGGTTCTGGATTTCTTTCGTTTCTTTTGTAATTACAAAAAGCAAGAGTGGTTGGTTATGGGACGGAATCGAATATTGATGCCACTTGACCAAGTTAAAGTGCCATGCGTTAAGGAGTAGGGTTCGTTTGTGATTTGATGGCCAAACTTTACACTATTTTGTGAAATGTATGACTGAGGATATTTTATATCGAAGTGTGTACGATTTAAACGATGTTTAAAATTTAAGTGGCTGCATTGAGCCTAGCCTATATTGAGCTTTTGTGTAAAAAAACTCTGAGTAAAAAGAGTTTCCAAAATATGATCCTGAACACAATATTATGATTAACAATGAATAATCACATCTAAAGGAGACGTCTCGGTTTGAGATTACGCCCGTATGTCTCAACGCCCTCGTCGTGCCATTTCATTCAATTAGAACAATAAATTGTCTCAAATCATCAATTAGAAGTCAAATAAAGAACCTTAAGACTTACTGCATAGAGGCTAAATAGAGGCCATAACTTTACATTATTCCTCTTGACTCACTGGGATTCACCTATAGCTCATTAATGCAAGTTGCTACCAGCGCCAGCGCATTGTTATGAGGACATTTTCCTCTTCACGTAAGAATTTCGGGTTCCGTATTAATTTTGAAAATATTTTATTAAGTTATATTTCGTCATCATCATCATCATCATTTCAGTCATAGGACGTCCACTGCTGAACTCCCCCAATGCTTTCCACGTTGATCGATGGGGCAGCAAGGTTCAGTACCTCTAGTAGGAAAAACTTTCGAGTTCGTTTCGTTGCGTATTCAAAGTGTCATCGAAAAATTTTGTATGAAAAATTAAACAGCGCCCCCTATATTATAGCCGCCCTAGGGGGCGCTGTTTAATTTTTCATACAAAATTTTTCGATGACACTTTGAATACGCAACGAAACGAACTCGAAAGTTTTTCGTACTAGAGGTACTGGAATGGAGGCCGCGTACCGGAAAACGCAGCGTGAGACGTCCACCTACAAGGTGGATCGACGACATCGTAAAGGTAGCAGGGAAGCGCTGGACGCAGGCCGCTACGTGGAAAGTTACATTTCGCCCTCCCCAAAATAACAAGCTAATGAGAGCTATCGTTTTAGAGGGCGCCACTGAAGAGTACCTAAGGTCAGCTGTCACTTGCTAGTGGCGAAGACAGTGGCGCCAACTGGTGACCGCTGAAGCGGTAGGACAATCGCTGAATACGAATCATCGCACAATCTCAGAACTTACGAGTAAATCAGTTTAGCTTCTACAAGCTTCATTTCAATTTTCAATTATGTAGAGACCTGTGCCTGGATGCGAGCGGCGCAGGACCGGTCCTAGTGGAAATCCTTGGGGGAGGCCTTTGTCCAGCAGTGGACGTCTTTCGGCTGAAACGAATATCTTGAGTTCTTGAGTATAAATTCATACTAGACTGTTGTTTCTATTTTCCGTCTGGTGAAGTTCGCGGGAAGTATCTGGATGCGGACAGCGTAGGAGCGGTCGTTATGGTTTATAAATTCTTGGGGGAGGCCTTTGTCCAGCAGTGGACGTCATTTGACTGAAACGAACGAACGAGACCATTGTTTCATAAAAAATCAGATGCTTTACTTTTTTTTTTTTTTTTATCCACAACGAGGAAGCTCTTGGCCTGTATCTCACCTGATGGTAAGTGACGATCAGGCCGAAGGTGGAAGCGAGCTTCACCCGGAATCCTCAACCACGGAGGAACTGGCTAACTTACCTCTAACTGCCGGAACACAATAATGCTGTTAACATTGTTGTTATGGCGTCAGACTTAGGTAAGATGGTGGTAGCTAGCCAGGCGGACTTAGAACAAGCCCTACCACCAACCAAACCGAACAGAAAAATCTGCCCCCACTGGGAATCGAACCCGGGACCTCTGCGTCTGAAGCAGGTGGTCTTACCACTAGACCACAGAGGCGGTTATTATCGCTTAACTGCTTGAAGGAACCTTAAAATGTGTGATAAATTGACAAGTTTACCTTTTATGAAACTATTTTCCCCCTTGTAGCGCCTATCGCTCGACGATGTGCAATAATTTTCTAAAGATAACGATATTTGTAAACAAATCATTGATTTTATGATTTTCCTTATTTAATTAATTTGTTTTATGAGTTTACACTTCCAGTAGTTTTAAAAGATATTTACCTTAAAGTAAAATGCATGTAAATAGAATGTGCTTTTTGAACAATAATAAAATATTATTAGTTACCTATTGTATTAATAAAAAGTGCATTAGGTTGGTTGATTACATTATTTATATTTTGATATTATAATGTTACCTAATAGAAAACTTTTTTTAACACATTAAAGTAGCAATCATTAATTGCCAGCATCTGAAAGTGATGATCAGGCTTCAGATCAGGCAGAAGAGAGATCGTAATAGAATCAGAAAAATAAAATTATCATTACACTGTATATTAACGAATGTTTTGGGTGACAAATGAATTAGAATTCTGAACGCGTAAACGCGTCAACAAGACTATATTTCTGTATCAGATACGTTATTCATAGAATAATAATGGGGTATTGTTTTTTAGGTTTCGCATAATCCATCAACAGAACATAATATCTTCCTCTTTCAAACCCAAAATAAACTTGAATGTGTTTATTGTCTTATTAGCACAGTGCGAGACCGGTTAGGCAGAGGTAAATATTATTTAGGTAACATTGACTTTGCACTTGAAAAGATAGTTCACCCTGGTACAGTAGATAGTGCTTTCCTCCTGTTCATATTCGATTTATACGCTATAAACCTAAGGGCAACTCAACTATTAATTAAAAATCATAATGGAAATCAAGATATAACATAATCACAATACCTTCGAATAGGTGTTCTTGGCATTATTGGCTTTACATTCGTCAATTTGTCAAATATTTTTTGAATCCTCTAATAATTAGCACTTAAGCCACCTAGACACTGCTGTAAACCTCGAAAATTGCATCAAATAGCAACCCAATACCTAATAGCAACCCAATCATATGGAAATCACTGTCTAATTTTACTTTAATCACTATTGAATCTTTATACCATTCACTCTCCATTCATAGTTTTCAACATTTATTTTGTCAAAAAAAGTTTTGCCAATTTCTTTTATAACCCACCACAATCGCAGCAGTCCTCTAAGAAAGAGCCTTTATGCCACTTACAGAATCCTCTATGTTATGCCACCAAAGCCAAGCACGGCAAAACTCGAAAATTGCATCAAGAACTAATCGAATTCGGATCTGGCAAATGCATCCGAACCCCACCAGTGGGTACGTGGCTCATTGGAGGCCTACGATCCAATTATGGCGCGCTAGATCTCGTTCGAGATGTGATTCGTTCTAGACATCGCAATCCGTTAGCCGCGTGCGAGTATTGAAAATGTTCCACAGTGGTCGCAAGGTGTGCAACTGTGCAGGTATATTTATTTATCTATTTACATACAGTAATGTTAAAATAACCAATTCAATCAGAAAGGTTATCTACTTATTATAG